GAGTCTGCAGCATCTGTGTTTGCTGCAGAAGAAGCCCCATTATGTCCATGCATCTCCCTCTCCTTTTCCTGCTGGGCCGCCTGAACCTTTGTCCTGTCTGCTCTTTTCTTCTCCAGGGTGTCTGCAATGTTCACCCTCCAGGCCCTTTGCTTGAAGTCTGAAGCAGCACTGACTTGATAGGTGTGCTCACCAAGCTGGACAATCAGGAAAAGGCATTTCAAACATTCAGAGAGTTTTAATGGGTAGAGGTGGGGGAGGCCTTTTGCTCTCTGTGACTCCTGGGCAGTGGAGTTGATAATTGTGACCAGAGCAGTCAGTGTGGGGCATTGTGGGACAGCTGTTGGAGGACTGTTAGGGTCAATATAAGTAAGGCAGTGTTTACAGTCGCACTGCATCGACCTCAGTACATCAACCATGGCTCAACGCTGCTCGGAGAAGTAGCATTACCATGTTGGTGGGAGACAAATGTAAGCATAGATACATGCACAACCAGCTCAACGTAAGGCAGCTTACATCAATCTAAGTTTGTAGTATAGAAAAGGCCTAATATTTGTGCATGCAAAATTTTGAATCTGGGATATAATCTCTGTTTGAACATGAACAAAAAAGTTAGGAGCACACTTTTAGGCTGACAGCTGTGCATGATGGGTTTAAGACCTGTCAACAATTTTGGCCCTGAATGTAAATTATTTTATTCCAACATAAATACACCTCTAACATGCCCTAAACATGAACTTCTGGGACATTCATTGTTTGTTATGCTATCAATTTGCCTCAAATTACAGGTTATCTAGAAAAATGCATTTGAACATTTGGTGATAATTTTTGCCTTGTGAATTGAAACAAGGATGATTACTTCTAAAGTATTTGACTAGATTTCAAGTCATATGCTGCCTCAGCTTGCATGTTTACTTAGCTGGAGGGCATATCATATGAAAGAAAACAAATGCTTCAAACTACACACACAGTCTTTTCATTGACTAGTTGGCAAGGCAATCTGTTTTGCACTTATTTTTCCTACAAATTTAAGCACAGTTTTGTATTAATTTTATATGAATGTTGAAACATAAATGGCTAATATCAGGTTTATGGATTTCTTATTTATTTTTTCCTTTTGTATTACGCAGATGGTTGCTTAAAACATTTTGTTTTAATCAACAGAAATTAATATACATTAACCAGTACTGTATGTAAGGCTTGGAAGCCGTGATTTACACCACCCATATATAGACCACTCACCAGAAAGTGAGCAAAGCTGCTCTGTGGTAAATACCAGGAGTGACTTCCACTTGAAACAAATTTAGCATAGTTTCTACAGGCTTGGCAGCAGACACTTCCTGTCAGATAGACGGAGAGAGAGCCTAATTGAACTCATGTTTCCAATAAGGTACAGGATGCAAATAGAGCAAGACTAAAGCACAAAAGGACGTATCTGGATATCCTGATAGAGCCTGATCCTGCTAATACTGACACATACATTCTTAAATTTATTACCATTCAATGGTAACATTCAGTGGGACTACTCACAACAGTCAAGTTAAATATGTGCATGTTTGCAGGATTGGGACCCTAATTTGTAAAACTATTTTGACTAAAAATGGCCTTTGTACAGAAAAAAAATGTAATTCTGATTACTTTCCCCAAAGAAACAACTAAAACCATTTTTTGTTTCTCTTCGTTTGTTTTTTTCCTGCCTTTTACCACCCCACCCCATTTTCTTTCCATTTTGCCATTGAAAAGAGGGAGAGGGGGAGAAAGCAAAAAAAAACAACCTGATTTTTTTCAATTTTCAAGGAAAGTTTAAAAAAATTAGAAACTTAAAAAATGTTGACAACTTTTTTTAATGAAACATACTTACCATTTTGACTAATTCTACTCATTTGTCTACTCTAGCAGCTAGCCACGTGACAGATGTGACACATTCGTGTTCATCATTTTCATAAATGTAATATGCAAGATTTACCCAGAATACTTGTTAAAGCACTTGGACTCAGCTAGCAGAGAGCCTGTAAAAATGAATTGAGCAGTGGTTACACTCTGCAATAATTAAGGTGTGTGTAGCATTTCTGTGCTTAATGTTCTTTAGGTCATTTCAAATGTACTTAAAGCCAAAGAATGGTTCTTGCAATGCAAGAGAGCCTGGAAGATTCAGTGTGTTTGCTTAGCTTATGTGACAGTAAGTACAAATTAATAAGTACAAATTTTTATAAGTCTGTACAGCTTTGTCCATTCCAAGTTATAAAGCAGGCTTAACTGTCAGTGTTGTTAGCAAAGACACCTCTAATCAAGCAGTACTATGAGAGAAAAGCTACTAGATAAATAGTGGAATTCAAATATGCAAATATTAAAAGATTGGTATCAGTGTATGAGAGAGAGCAGTTATTGTGAGGTGCTGTTATGTCAATAGAATTATGATCTTATAAAATTTGGAATACATACTTTATTTTAAAATAAATATAATTTATATATGCAGCAAAAATATAAAAGTTAGTAACTATAACTGAATAGAATTTTTGTAGATTCCAGGCATCCATTTATATTTTATTTTCTTCTTTAATTCTCCTCCATCCCCTTTTCTTTTCCAGATTTATTCTTTGTGTTAAATCCTGGCCCTGCTGGTCTATCAGTGCTATCAGTGACTTCGTAGGCCAGGATTTCTCCCTTTTTCTTTTTTGCATTCCTTTAAATTCCAATAGGCTTCTTTGATCTGTATGTATTTTTCCCCACTGTGTTTCTACTGTCTTCTTATTGTTCTCCGTTTTTGATGTGAGCTGGTAGTCCTTTCCACACACAGACACTCCTCCCACCCCCATCCCTATCCCTCCACTACACAGTCCAAACTCCTGGGCGGGTTCATTGCCTCCTGTTGTCTTGGGTGGGCGGCTTCTGATTAACTCATTCTGACATTTATGTTCATTGAAGGGAGCATTCAAATCCATTCTCAAAAAGGTTTGTGATCAAAGCAGTCATCAGTACCTCTCAGCATCACACTCTGCATCCCCAATTTAACTCTACCCATTGTCCCAATGGTGCTCCAAACAGTCATGCCCAGTATAATCCATCCCAAACCGAAAGAAAATAAACAGTCTGCCAAATTAAAAATAATACAAGGTTAACTATATGCATATGGACAGTGACTTTCTGTCAAGATGTTTTCACATTGCCAACACACATTGGTTTTTATTCCTACCCAAAACCTTGGGATTTTTCACTCCCTGATGGACTTTCGGTCAAGCACTGGGGAGGGGCCTATTTCAGTCAGCCCCTGAGGAAACTTTTGGGATTCACCTACCGGACCCTCTGTAACAACTTTTCCAGTCTGACTTCCACAGCTACGTTCTCAGAGTCAGGGCTAGTGGGGCAGCCAATCTGAAATTCTGTCCCATAAACTGTAAACGCGAGCATCCGTGTCCAGTGTTAAAAGGGTTTTGAAATATGGATAGGCCAAGACACAAGCAGTCCCAAGAGCCTTTTTCAACTGTGGAAATGCTAAATTGCACCCTGCAGACCACTGAAATGATTTTCCTTTATTACTATTTGCTATTTATCAGAAACATTCAGTAAACCAATAGGGATCAGTTCTTGGTTCAGATCTGCCTGAACTTTAGCAGCTAAGGGCAGGACTACGCTACAGAATTCAGTATAAGTACGTCGCTCAGGAGTAAATAAATGGCAAAAATATACAGAACTGAGGAGCAAAATATATTCCCAAGTGTTGGGAAGTGATTGCACATTTGAAGCCAGGGAACAACAGATAGTATAGTTAGAAATTTCTAACAGGAGAACAGCGGGGGTAGTTTATGGCCTGCAATAAATAAAATAACACAAAAAGTGCATGTACCAATCTGTGAGCCAGCCATCACTCTGAACCCTTGGATTGTGTGTTTTATCACCCTCCTTTTTTTCTTTCTTTCATATTCTATCCTCTTCAGGAGTATGACTATGTCTTAGGTATTTTTGGAAAGCACCTAGCACTTTCTGGGCACTACTGCAATCCACATAAATAATACTATGTGAGATGCACAGCTCTTTAAGACTGGAGTGAAGTGTATAGTGGGTTGTAATATATTGTAGTGAGTGGCTAGTGTTCCTATGTACTGCCTGCTGCCTTGTACTAGATGGAATCAGAACTCTGCTCAGCTGTGTGGCATGGGATCTGTGCTGCTAAAGGTAAAGGGGGATTTTACTCAAGTGTACACTGGAGCAGGTAATTCCAAATTCTAGCTTTGCTGCTGCAGTGGCTTCCCACTAAGCATCAGAATGTGCTACTGTGAAGTCTTAGGCCTTGTCTATATTTGAAATGCTACAGCAGCACAATGCATCATTGTAGCACTTCAGAATAGACACTACCTATGCTAACAGGAAGGGTTTGCCTAGCAGCATACGTAATCCATCTCCCAGCGAGGTGGTAGCTAGGTTGACGGAAGAATTCTTCTGTCCAGCTAGTCCTGTCTACAGTGGGGGTTAGGTTGATTTAACTGTGCCACTTAGGCTTGTGGATTTTTCACACCCCTGACTGTTGTAGTTAAACTGACTTAATTTTCTAGTGTAGACCAGGTCTCAGGCTATGCCTACACTACCAGGGCTTATAGCAGCACGGCTACAGCCCTGCAGCTACGCACCTGTGGGTTTTAGCCCACAAAAGCTTATGCTCAAATACATTTGCCACAAGTACTCCTTGTTCTTTTTGTATTATAGACACTTTCTGCAGTGAGGGAAGGGATTTTCCATTGCTTAAGCCAGCGTGGAGGCAGGTAGGTTGATGGAAACATTCTGGGTGTTAGGTTTACATAGTGACATCCTGAATTTTTGACATGTCTGTGCACTGTAGCTATGTCCACCTAACTTTTAAGTGTAGCCCAAACCCTGATCCTGCCATCTGCCTGTGCTGGGCGACCCTGACGGGCCTCCAGAATGGAATCCTAAAGATTTCAGTGGTCTCCACGTGGACGCAGTTTGCTTGCACTGATCCGACAACAGACTCATGGCTTTAGGTGGCTGTGGATTTGTTACAGACTTTACCGATGGATAATACAAACCACAGGCAAATCTACAGAGTAGCAGCCAGGGTAAAACCCTCTCCCGGGCGCTATGGCCCATTTGGAAATAGCAGGGGCTTGGAGGGGATCCTTTCCCGGGCTTCTCCTCAGTCGATCGTGGCGGAGGACTGGAGGAGGGGGGAAGCCACGGCTGTTTCCAGCCCCACTGCAGGGCTTTGGCGCAGGCTTGGGGGGCTTGGAGCCTGCAGCTCCGAGGGGCAGGCGTGGGGTTTGTCTCCGCAGAGGGCGCTGTACGCAGCCAAGGGGACGCGCTAGCCTGACAGCCCGGCGGCAGCGGGCGCCGAGCCAGGCACATGCCTGCGATATGCAGGGGGCTCGCCCAGCTGCGCGCTCCCAGCCCCCTCGAGCAGTCCCCCGGCCGCTCTGCCCGCAGCAGCAGCCCCGGGACCGCCGCTGAGCGGAGCCGGCCCTGCGCCTCGCCCGCCGCCCTCCCGCTCCCAAACTTTGCAAAGTCTGGCAGCTCCCCGTGGCCGGCCCGGCTTGCGGCGGCCGCGGCAGCCGAAGCAGCAGGCGGAGGAGGAGGCGGGGTGCGGGCCAGCCGCCGCCGCAACATCAAAGCGCCTCGATTCCTGCTGCCGTGGGAGCCATGCGCCGCCGTCTGTAATGTCAGCGGAACAGGAGAAGGATCCCATCGCGCTGAAGAGATCCCGAGGTACAGCGGGCAGGGGGGAGCCGGGCCGGCACCCTGGGGACACCGGAGGGACAGCCGGGGGTCCTGGGCCTAACTCTGCCGAGGAGACATTACATCCTCCCGCTCGCAGTCTGAGCCAGAGCGTCCCCCCTGCTGCCGCGGGGAGCTTGGTGCAGCGCCGGCATTCCGGGCGTCTGGAGGGGCTGCCGCACTTCTGGGCAGAGAGCTGCTCCAGGAGCGGGACTCGGGGCTCTCGCTTGCCCCAGCTCGTATTACACCCCGTGGGGGTGTCATTTATCTGGATGTGTACTTGTGTGTCCGGCTGACTCATGACTGTTGCGATCTGTTTTATGCATTGCCGTGGCTCGTTGGTATCCAGATGTCTTTGAAAGTAGCATTGCTCAATTGCATTTCTTTGAATGCTATATTAAGTCTGTACAGTGAGGCGCCGATCCTGCGAACTGATCTGCATGGGTGGACCCTTGCAGCCGTGTGGATCCATTTTTAGGATTGGGGATTTAAAGTACAAAAGTTAATATTAAAGGATACAGGAGTATTGTTAACTTGTCCAACCAAGTTACGCACATGCAGTATTTCTACTCGTTTTCTTGACGTGTAATATATTAGTATGCTTTAAATAGGTATAGTACAGGCTGCACCATGTGCCCATATTAACGCTCCTGCACAGAGAGTAAATTGTATTTCCAAACTTCGAGTTTTCACTTTCTCACCCTTAACACTAAACTAATATTGTTTTTTTAAATTTGTTGGAAAAGAGAAGGAAAGAAATTATCTTCTGTTACTAATGGCAGTATTTGTATGGGCCCAGTGAGGTTTTGAAGCTCACACCTCATTGAAATGTATTGGGAAAGTACAGTTCCATCCCTGTCTGCCTATTTGCTGCTGCTGTTTGGCTGGAGACCATTTTCTGCAAGGCTGGCTTACCAGGGCAGCAGCACATCTCTTCACATAGTGATAGCTGTATCTTTACAATGGCAAAAGAGAGACCTTTGTTTTGGAATGAGATACTGGAATGTACAGAGTATCTGTGAAAGGATTGAAAATTGTGGTGAATTTTTCTAATGTTTTTGATGTTAGCCTTTTGTGGGGGGGAGAGGACAAGGATTTTACTGTATATTTCACTCAGATATTTACAATTCACTTATTTCAGTTGTTCTAGCAACTGTAGAGTACTGTAGAGCAGCAGTACTTTACCTAGCAGGTTAAGCAGAGAAAATATGTCACAGGAAGACTGGGATTCATTAAGCTAATTTAAATAATAGGTTCTGATCCTGCAAACACTTAAGTACACACATAGCTTTATACTTGTGAGTAGCCAATTGATTTCAATAGGATACTGCCGCAGGGCATAAAGTTACATACGTGCATAAATCATTGCAGGATTAGGGCCACAGCAGATGCCCATTGAACCAGTGCCCCCTCATCCCCATCTATAGTCTCTTGGTTTGTTTCTTAAAACAAAAAAAGCAAACCCCATACCTAGCCAAGGGACTACTTACTCATCAAGGGTTGTGGCCCCAATTCTGCAAAGACTTACATGTGTTTTACTTCACATACTGTAAAATACCGGACTGTGCTTACTGTGTAAAGTTGCATAAAATTCTTTGCGGAATCAGGGCTTGTTTATTTACATATAAAGTTTTAAGCGTCACCTGTCTTGAGATTGAGTGTGTGTAAAATAGAAGTGTGCAGATTTATTCCCCCACTCTCCCAACATTAAAAAATGGGTGAACTACATTTTTTTCAAAAACTTGAAAGGGGGAATAATAGCTTTCACATGTGACAAGCATAGAAAGTCTAAGCCAGGGGTAGGCAACCTATGGCGCGCGTGCTGAAGGTGGCATGTGAGCTGATTTTCAGTGGCACTCACACTGCCTGCGTCCTGGCCACTGGTCCGGGGGGCTCTGCATTTTAATTTAATTTTAAATTAAGCTTCTTAAACATTTTAAAACCCTTATTTACTTTATATACAACAATAGTTTAGTTATATATTATAGACTTATAGAAAGAGACATTCTAAAATCGTTAAAATGTATTACTGGCACGCCAAATCTTAAATTAGAGTGGCTAAATGAAGACTCGGCACACCACTTCTGAAAGGTTGCTGACCCCTGGACTTTAAGCCAAAATGCTTTGTTTTTTGTTTTGTTTTGTTTTGTTTTGTTTTGTTTTACAGAAAGCAAAGAGTGTCTGAGAACAGGGGGTTATGCTGAAACCATTTTGCAACCTTAACTCTAGTATATTGCAAAATACCCAAATGTTCAGTGTATCGTTGAATGAAAAGACTGTGGATACAAGAAGTGACTTTCAGGAAAGTTTATTTTGGCTGCTTGATAATGACCCTTGTTCAGTTTTCTTGGAGGTATGTGAGGACTAACATTAATTTTCCTTTTATGTATAAATTAAATTCTTATAAAATCCAAAAGGAAAAATACATAAATTTGTAGGCCTAACTTACGTTATTGGCCTCACACAGAGAAAGATGAGATCACAAAAGCTTAGTACTTCATCAAACAGTCTTGCAAATCAATAAGCATCCAAGTAGCTTTACTTATGTGAGTAGTCCCATTGACTCCTATGGGACTACTCACTTAAGTAGGGTTACTCATGTACTTAAGTGTTTGCGGGATCAGATCCTTGAGTACTAGTTTATACTTAACAAAACTTACAGAGCTTTAGGCTGTATTTTGAACTGCTACAGGAAGGTGAGCATTTGTTGGTGGTCCCTAGAGAATTGTCTGGTCACATACTTAACACTCCCAATTTTCAGCTGCTGAATTTCATTAAAAGAAGCTAAAATACATTAAACACTTTCCAGATAATATTTTTCCATATTAGCAATTGCTCTTGTTGACACATGGATGCTGTGTGAACATGAATGGGAGAGAAAATTGTTTATGTAATTCTGAATGAAAGAGAAGGTGCCAATGAGACCATCTCTCTGTTAAACTGTGATATGTCTCTAAGAATGCTTTAGAACACCTGGGTGATGGAAAACAGGGAAAAATTTGAGGAGAGAGTTTATCGTTTACCAAGCTAGGACATTTTGGCTGGAATTTTGGGAGTATTTGTAATGATCCCTTCTTCCTGCAGAATTTTTATTGGAATATTTAATATTTACAATCGATGGGCTGCTATACTTTACATAGCACCATAAGGAGACACAGCGTTTTGCATTATAAACGGTAAGAATTGGACTTCTCCCCAAATCCCGAAGAGTTATTCTCAACAAATTTTGTGGTGATCTGCTGTGATATGTTAATGCTCAAAAATGATTAAAAAAATTTCCCCTGGCCTGATACTTAATAGGATTTAAATTTATCAGTTTTCTTCCAGTCATGATGATGATTTGGGGCAGTCATTCTTCTTCCTCATGTGTGGTGAAGATGATTTGGGGCAATCATTCTTCTTCCTCATGTGTGGTGAAATATTTTAGGGATTTTATGTATGTATTTATTTATTTATATATAAAAAAATCAGGTATCTATCTATCTATCTATATATATATATATATAAAATTTAATCCCTAAAATATATATATACACACACGCACGATATGAAATATGAGGTGGGATTTTAACTTTGACAGCCAGAGCCAAGAGGAAGATATTAAAACAGGTACAGAACAGCATTCCTCCATGAGTAATTTTCCCTGAAAGCCTTGTTCTGAAGCAGTATGAGTTATCTGAGTGAAAATCGGCTCAATGGCATTTTCTGCCCTCCTAGTGTGGGGACTAAGATGAAATCCCTGCTGACTGGCAAAATAGTGACTTTGAGGCTAAGAAATCCATCAAAAATATTTGAAATATCCTCAGATATTTTAACTGGTATACACTGGGCCTGATTCTCCTCTGTTTGGAGCAGCTTTGTGATACTGGGTGTGCAAAGCAGCTGTAAAGCCGGTTCAGCTGCCTGCTGGAGGATTCTGAGTGACGTAGAGTTGTTGTAATGGTTCCTATACTGTATCCCTTACTGGCATAGGGGATGTGTGAGAAAGGAGCGTGAACTAGCATCCATATGCCCCAGTAAAACACAGTTACCTTCAGACTACTCTAATTTATGCTAGAGACCTAAACTGGCATCAGAACAGACCAGGATTGAGGATGGGTGAGGTGCAAAGGGTCTTGACTTGGACCAAGCCCTCCTTAGCTGGGCTGAAGGATCAGAATCATTGTTGCTATGGGTCAGATTTTCAAATACTTTTAGGTGCTTACAGATGGGCACCTGTTAGTGTTCCCTCCCCACTCTGAACTCTGGGGTACAGATATGGGGACCCGGATGAAAGACCCCCTAAACTTATATTCCACCAGCTTAGGTTAAAAATTTCCCCAAGGCACAAATTCCTTTCCTTGTCCTTGGACGGTATTGCTGCCACCACCAAGTGATTTAAACAAACATTCAGGGAGGGGCCACTTGGAGCCCTATCCCCCCCACACATATCCCCCTAAGCCCCTTCACCCCCTTTCCTGGGGAGGCTTGAGAATACTATGCCAACCAATAGGTTAACAAAGTGAGCACAGACCAAATCTGTGGTTTTTAGGACACTGAAAATCAATCAGGTTCGTAAAAGAAGAATTTTATTTAAAAAAAAAAGGTAAAAGAATCACACCTGCAAAATCAGGATGGAAGATAACTTTATAGGGTAAATAAAAAGATTTAAACCACAGAGGATTTCTCTCTGACTGCTTCCCAGTTACAAAACAGGAATAAAATTACCCTCTTACCATAGGGAAAATTCACAAGCTAAAACAAAAGATAATCTAATGCATTTCCTTGCTATTACTTACAATTTCTGATAATTTTAGATATATCATTTCAGGATCTTTTAGGAGCAGGTTTACCTGCTTGGTCTCTTTGTCCCAAGAGGGAACCAAAACAAAGAGAGCACCAACCAAACCTCTCCCCCCCCAAGATTTGAAAGTATGTTATTTTCCCATTGGTCCTTCTGGTCAGGTGCTAACTAGGTTAATTGAACTGATTAACCCCTTACTGGTAAGTGATTCTGTACCTCTGGCCAAGAGGAATTTTATATTACTGCATACATAGAGGTTGTTACCCTTCCCTTTATATTTATGACAGCACCTAATGGGACTTTCAAAAGCACCTAAAGAGAAGACAATGGGAATTAGGCACCTAGCCTGCTTAGCAGCACTAGAGGCCTGTCTGTAGATGCCTTTAAAATTTGACCCTGTGTAACCAGATGAGTGTTGCATTCAGTAATAACAAATTCTTATGTGCAGCAAAACATCTGTATCTTGGTAGAGTTTGGCTAGTTTTTTAATGTGAATTTTAAACATAGGGAGACATCACACTTTTCTGAAAAAAATCAAATGATAGTACCAATCTGAGGTCAGTTTACATACATTCCACTGTATGTAGCAGCAAAGAATCATTGTTTATCATAGTCTTTTAGAAAAGATGTAGATAGAGCATGGACAAAAAAGAATGAACTTGTATACAGTCTGTTCACAATTGATGGTTCTACCAGGTTAAAATCTGTCACCTTAACATCGTCTGTCCATGACTTTGGCTCAAGGTTACTCTTCATTCCCAAAACAAATTAATAATTTCTACTACTAATGTAATGAGACATTTATCACTAAAATCTCCTCTATCCATCTGTAGCAGTGGTGGGCAACCTGCGGCCCATCAAGGTAATCTGCTGGCGGGCTGCAAGACAGTGTTTATATTGACCATCTGCAGCTCCCAGTGGCTGTGGTTTGCTGTTCCTGGCCAATGGGAGCTGCGGGAAGCAGTGCGGGCTGAAGGGAGGTGCTGGCTGCCGCTTCCCGCAGCTCCCATTGGTCAGGATCAGCGAACCGTGGCCACTGGGCGCTGTAGGCAGCCATGCCTGTGGACAGTCAATGTAAACACTGTCTCGCGGCCCGCCAAAGGATTACCCTGAGAGGCTGTGTGCATCCCGTGGGCCACAGATTGCCCCCCACTGATCTATAGCTTTACAGGGATTTAAAAATAAAAAGTCATAATTTGCACTACAGGATTATGTAGGACTTCATGCGTCTGTCACATTCTGATGAAAGGTGTAGCTGAACTTCAAGTGAAGGGTTGGATTTTCTTTCTCTTAGTTAAAATGAAATAAGTGGATCAAGAAGATAAGCATCCCTCATATTGCAGGAAACTGTATTTGTACCAAAATAGCTTTTGTTAACTGCTACATAAGGATATATGGCCTCTGCAAAGGAATCCCCTAGTGCTGGCTCATTGATTATAGTGAGATTTTTCCTGGGGTGATCTTTTGCATGATCAAGACTTAATTTATGGGAGTTTGGAAATGACAAACTGAGAGTCTTGTCTCAGCTGTATGCCAGGTTTTCAGGGATTTTCATTAATAGAATGCCAGGTTTTCATTCATATACTCGTTTCTGCTTGTTCGTTCCTTAACTACATACTCTAACTGCCTATTGTGCACTGGGAGTCCCAGGCTGATGAACACCACATCTGTGTAAGTTAAGTGGGAGATGAATCTTAGATAATTCCTTTTTGGTGAGAGAAGAAGCCTTAAGAACCAAGCGCTTGATCCAAAACCCAATTAAATTAATGGAAGTCTTTCCACAGACTTTAATGGGCTTTGAATAAGGCCTTCATGTTCTAATGGAGATGGACTCCAGTAGTTGTGTTACAGCTCCCTATACCTCCAGGTGTGTTCATTCTATAGACTTTGTAGTTTTAAGCTAGAATTAGTGATACTTTGATGTTTGTCACAGGCTTTTCTTGGTATGACACAGAAAGGCACACATTAATATAAAATCTGTATTGAAACAAATGCAGAATTATATTGATTGAAATTTTGTAGGTGGTGACAGTGGATTGGATGGGTTAGGAGGACCAGGAGTACAACTTGGAAGCCCAGATAAGAAAAAGCGCAAGTCAAATACACAGGTAAATTGCTTCTGATCTTGATTTTTTGAATAAATAACACACTCAGATTTTGCTAACTTATATGAGTATCTCTTTCATCTAGGAATATCAATCCTTTATCACAGGCACAGATTAGTAGCTTTCCAGTATCTTATAATTAAGTGTTTATGTAAAATCTTAGATCCCTCTCCATCCTCACGCTGGTTACAAGTAACTCCTATTGAAGTGCTTTTAATCCCTGGAGATTGCATGTATCCTGCAAGAGGAGAATATAAAGTCTCTGGTAAATATGCACAGAGTGAACAGGCTGTTCATTCAGTCATGTGGACATGGTTCTGAGGAACAGAATTTAATCCCCAGCCTTCAGTTGTTTGGTGTGAATCTTCAGGGTATGAGTGGTAGCTGCGGGCCGCTGCTTTCCCCATATATGAAGATTTGTGGACTAATTGGTCCATGCAGTTCATGAACCCATTGGCCACACCTTTAGTGCACCCCCATCGTGCTTTCCAATGCAGGGAGTCATGAGGCACACTCGGTACATTGAATTTATACTGTTTGGCTCTTCTGTCCACTGGAAATGGGGCTTCGAGAGAATGTGGGAAGACATAGGATTTGGGTGCTAATGCAAAACATTGATATTGATCATCATCTGTAAAGTAGAATTGTCCTCTTCTGTGTCCACTCAGCACTGTGTCTCAGAATATCTGCTCTTAGTTACTTAGTGGCACATAATGAGAATAACTTGATTCATGTAGGACCAGTTACCACCTTATAATATGCATGCCCGATTCCCGTTGACTTGGGTGTCTGTTGCTTTTTCTTGTTCAAGTAGTGGTGAAACCCACTGTTGTAGGCATACACAATTAATTTCAGGCTTTTGGATCTCTTAGTTCTCTCTAGTAATGAAGCTTTCCTTTAGCAGCAGAATTATGATAAATATAATGGTCCTGCAGATAAGTTCCTCCTCTTTTGTTACCTCTAATAAAGTTTGCAGGGCAACAGAAATCTGCAGCATCATTTCCCCAGCCTAGGCTACTAAATATTTGGGGCCAAATTCTTGTCTTCTGTGCACACTGTGCAGGAGGGAACTATGTGGGGGTGAGCAGGCCAGAACTCTCCTCACAAACTGGACCAGAACGAGAGTCAGTTGCGCAGTCACTCTCTATAGTCATTTATGCAGCCTCTGCGTCCACTAAACCCCTCATGCTCCCAGCCCAGCCACAGTTCCACAAAGTGCTGTCACAGAGCAGATCCCTCTGGTTCACAGAAGATGGAGAGTCCCGCTGGTTAGACTGTCTCCTGCCTGTACACCTTGCAGCACGGATACAGTAGTATTGCTATCTTTTAAGTCTTGCATAGCCTCATCAAAAGTGGGATGGGTCAGGAGAAAGATTTGACCTTTAATTTAGTAAATGTAGCCTGAGAGGAAACAAAGGAAAATCTATTTTTAAACGGTATTTAAACATGAGGTTTTATGTTTTAATTATATGATTTTGCGGGAATCCTGTATTTCTTAAATAAAAGAAGGAAACAAAACCACACAGTGAGCATTTTTGGCAGCATGTTGTACAGCTGCAGTTTTTAAAAATAGTGAAATTAGTCTAAATCACTTTAATGGCATCATGAGTTGTATGAAATAGCTCTTAAGACAAACTCAGAAAATACTTTATAAAATAAGAGTATGTACTCCAGCCACAGAACTCAGTTGGTTTCAGTCAGGGTTCTGTGTGGGAGACAATGGCAGGATCAGACTCCTAATAATATAAAGACCAACGGTGGCATTAGACCTGTATACCACTCTTCCAGGGGCTACTGTATCACAAAAATCACCACCACAACTGGTGCCCATATTGGCAGTCTTGCAAGAGAAGCCCAGGGGGGAATGAGCCTGGAGCCTGAACTATTCTCTCTCTTCCTTTCTGATGAGACTTAAGGCTCACTGCCAGAGTAGTGTGGGGAAGCTTACACTGATGATTGCTGCCCATGTGGCTCCTGACTGAATAAACAGAAGACTTTGGTTCACTCGTGCTGCCAATCCAGCTTCTTTATGGTTGAAAGCCCATGTGTTCTTGTAGGGAAGTTTATACGAATGCTAATTTAAATGTTATATTCTAAATATTTTCAGGGATCTTCCTTTCCTCCTCCATCTGAATATGCTCCACCGCCGAATCCAAGCTCAGACCACCTTGTAGCGGCTAATCCATTTGATGATAACTATAATACTGTCTCCTATAAACCTCTACCTTCAGGAAGTCCTTATTTTAACCATCCTGGTTACCCTGGTTTTGGAGGTTATAACACTTTCAGAATGCCACCTCACATGCTGCCCAGAATGTCCTCACCATATGGTGGTTCTTACACCCTCAGAAACCAGCCACACCCACTTCCTCAGAACCCTGTGGGAATGGGTTTTAATCGACCTCATGCTTTCAACTTTGGTCCGCATGATAACACAGGTTTTGGAAATCAGCCATCTTATAACAGTGGTCAAATGAGTCAAAATGTCAATATGCCCAGTCAACACTTCAGACCAAATCCTGGTGAGAACTTTGGTCACATTCCTCCACAAAATACTAGTCAAATACCACACCCTGACATGACATCTAACTTTGGAACTGCAAGCAATCCACATTTTAATTCCCAGTTAGATTCAAACCATTCTTTTGTTCCACCACCCAACACCTACAACCAGACAAAACCATCAGCACAAAAGCAAGACTTCAGTCAAGGTGCAAGCAAAACTTCCAACCAGAACACTGCTACACATCAGCATCACCACAGAACAGATGACATCGTGAACCAAGGTAGTGCTGACTTAAAAAATGTTAATCGAAACACTGTAGTAAATCAAGAGAGCAACCATTCTCATAATGCAGATAACACTAACAGTAGTCATGCTAATGGGACTCAGAGCAAGCCCCGTCAGCCTAGAGTTACAGCTGAAGGCTGCAACTCTGAAAAGAGCAGCAAAACATCTCTCCACCTCAGTCGTCATGGTCATTCATCCTCTGAGCCAGTCTATCCATGTGGAATTTGTACACATGAAGTTAATGATGACCAGGATGCCATCTTGTGTGAAGCTTCTTGTCAAAAATGGTTTCATCGGATCTGTACGGGCATGACTGAGTCTGCTTATGGCCTCCTCACTGCAGAAGCATCAGCAGTATGGGGCTGTGATACTTGCATGGCTGAAAAGGATGTCCAGTTGATGCGTACTAGGGAGACTGCAGGGCCACCTGCATTGAATAGTGATGGATAATGACATCCACTGATGCAGTATTGAAATACATACTACAGAGGTATTGCTCTTAATGGTATACTTCATTTTCTATAGACAATCAAGGTTGTGTGTTTTTTTTGTTTGTTTGGTTGGTTTTTTGCTTTTAGTCTATCTTCACTCATGAAATTCCATCTGTTTATGTGAGTATTTAAACTTTGATCAGAAACAGACAATGTTTGAAGATCCAAAATATGTCTGGTATTTGTTTCATCACAAGCAAGTTTTGCATTAAAAAATGAATTACTGGAATTATTGATGTCAGAACATCTGCCTCGATGAATACAGGCTGCCAGTTAGTGCTGAGCCTTGATGGTACTATATATTGGAAGCATTCATTATTGTTATGTTTTATGAATGTCCATTACTGTTTTGCTCATGTCAGTGCTATCTGTCCTGTGGGTAGGAGAAAAGGTGGAGGAGGTGACATGGAAAAAGAGGAGTTCTAATGAATTTTATTTTAAGATGAGCACTAAGGATTTTAATTTTTTTTCTTATTCTGCATCTGAAACAATTAATCAACCTTGCATTTGATTGTTTTAGTATTTGTGATGTTTACACTTCAAAATACAGTGCCTCCTGACTTCTCAGCAAATATTTAATAGCCAAGAATTCTAGTGAAATCTTACGTTACTAAAAATTCAGTATTTTTACAACATATATCATAGCATTACATTTAAAAACACTAAAATAACATCAAGGTTGCAAAGTCAAGCATTCAAAAGTTAGGGAAGGCCAGAATTAGGCCCTTTCTGTGCATATACAGTAGGATATAGTCTTTAATTTTACATGATCACATGCCTCCTCTTAGGTGCCAGGGCACCAGCTGGCAGAGCGTTGACAGCACAAGAGAGACCGTCTCCCTGCTCTAATATTTACTGAGCTTGTGTGAACTGTGATTTTTTTCAGTGTCTTGTAATTTGGCCAACTTGGGTGAATTTTTATAAGGCTTGGAAAAGTTGTGATCCACCTGCCAAACTTCAAGTCCAAAATCAACTTCCAAAGTATGGAAGTGCTAGAGCCTCTCAATTTAAATAATTCTAAGATATATTTTAACATGGGCAACACAGCATATTTTCCCTAAACTTGTTCTTGGAAACAGCTAAACTGTTGAATTTTCTCGACACCCGGCATGAAAATTCAACCCAAACGGTTAAAATTTGGCAAAGTTATAAGCAACTGAAAATGAGGTTTTATAATGAAAGGTGTTGGGCAGCCTTATAATAGGTAGTGCTACTAGATCTGTCTATTATATTTACCCTTATGCAAATGAGTTATAATAATCATTAAAACCAAACCACACTTGTCAAACATGATAGATGCTAGTCATGTTGCTTAATGTACTACCTGAAGGCGCTCAGATACTGTGGTGATAAGGATGGTATAAGAACCTAAATAGAATAGAAACATAAAGGTCACTTTGTGATGCATCATCATTCTTTTAATTCATTTTGATTGTTTACTAATTGAGTAGTTTACAAGGTTCCCCCACTGAGTGTGAATTTGTGAGGTTCTATTGTAACTGTGCTTCTAAACATGACTTGGAGATGTGCTGTCCTTTTGGTGTATGTGTGTAGCTCCCCATTAATGTTATAGGTTATGTATGAGCATAAAGGGCTACGTACGGCTTGCTTACATTATTAAAGGACCTTCTACAGTATCTGGAGAATGATGCCCAGAGGTGGTGGTACTTTCTCACACCTTTTACATCGCCTCACTGGGAATATCCTAGAGGTGTAAAGGCAAATTTGGGCCTGTGTTTTCAATATTACTAGCTCAATACAAAGGCTAACCTTCAGTTTTGCTATTTTTCTTACTGGTTTGATGACTTACAGTAGTAATCTCTGCTAAAGTAATGTCTTCAAGAATTTTACCTGTGGCTTACTGGTTTAATTCTAATTTGTTTGTAGTATTGATGTAGAAATTAAAACCAAAACCTTGTTCAGGTAGCATAGGTTCCTATGCGCCAGATTCTGATCTCTGTTGCACCAGTGCAAATTGTGAAGCTTTTGAAGTTACCCCAGATTTACACTGATGTAACAGAAATCAGAATTCTGCTCAGCGACTAAGAAATCCACCAGAGGCTAAGGGGCGATGCTTTCTTTGCTAGTTTGTGATGATGTGAGTTCTTCTAGATTCCTAATACAAATAAAAATACAAAGGAGTCAGATACTGTGTTTAAAATCACCATAGAATTTCCTGCACCTCCCCTCCCTACCAATTCCAGTATTTCAGAGTAGACATATGCTTTCTACATTTGTTAGAAAAATATTTCCATATGAATGTAACCAAATGTACTAATTGGTTAGCATGTGGGGGTGGGCATGGGGTGAAAACCTGTGAGTTTCCACCCAAATGTTTAGTCCTACAAATAAAAGGCATTAGCAAATGCTATCAAAGTACCAAAATTAAACAGCTATCATAGCATTGATATTGATGTGGTCTCAGTATTTCTGAACTCTATTTACAGAGAGCAGATGCATTTGTTTTTAGAGTGTGTTAGCTAAAGCTAATAGTATTTCAAGTATGTATGAGAAAAAGAACAATCATGTATATTAGTAGGGTAGTAGGAATGTCACCTGCTTAAAATTAGAACCATGCTAGTTATGGGATTAGGAGGGTTAGTTAGTATACCTGATTTTTGTAATACTCTACATGAAACAATTTGTATTGAGCTATCATGTAATTCTTTCAATGTTAGTGTTTTAGGTTGTACTGGTGCTTCACACCAAAATATTGTAAGGATTTTGTAAATCTGCAAACCTGGAGTTTTATGGAGGAAGTGGATCAAACCCATCTCCTTTATAAAAAGGCTCAGAATGCTGCTTCATAGAATGACTTCTCAGTAGTGTGGCTTCCCAAGTTTTTTAATTTTTAATCCCAGATGAAATAAATAATTGGAAAATTAATTGGTCGGTAACACTGACAAACTTATTTTGCCTTAGACCAGTGGTTCTCCTGATCCCAAAGTGGATCGCAACTGTGTTTTAATGGGGTTGACAGGGCTGCTGTTAGACTTGCTGGGGTCCAGGGCTGAAGCCAAAGCCCGAGACCCACTGCCGGGGGCCGAAGCTAAAACCCGAGGGCTTCAGGCCTGGGTGGCGAGGCTCAGGTTACAGGCCCTCTGCCTGGGGCTGCAGCCCTTGAGCTTCAGCTTTGGTCCCCCCGCCCAGGGTGATGGAGCTCAAGCAGGCTCAGGCTTCGGTCCCCCCTCCTGGAGTCGCATAGTAATTTTTGTTGTCAAAAGGGGGTCACGTGCAATGAAGTTTGAGAACTTCTGCCTTAGACCATTTTAAATGTGCAAATATTTTATGTACTGGTTTAATATTCTAATATTGTGTTGTAATTAGTGTTGGGATAAGAGGCACTGCTGTCTATGAATTAGAGAGATATGGGTGTCAAAAATCCCATCTTTTGTTCCTGGCTCTTTTTCTGATTATCTTTGTAACCTTAGACAAATCAGTTAACTACCTGTGCCTCAATTTACTTATCTGTATGATGGGATTAATACTGACTTCACAGGGTGCTGAGAGGCTTAATATTTGAAATCTTCAGATGAGAGACACTGTAGAAGTGCCAAGTATTATAACATATTTAGTGTTTGCTCTATTAAAAACAAAAGTATAATTTTCAGGGCTGCTCAATAAGATACTTTGCTATCTGTATAAATTTCCGCTTATGCCCCAATCCTGCAAACACTCTTACACATATACTTAATTTTAAGCAGGTGAATAGTCCTAATGAAGTCAGTGAAATGATGTGCATGAAGTTAAGAAAAATTCAGAGTGCTTGCAGGATTGGGGCCTTCATTTGGACTTCATAATTAGATATTCTTAAATGTATTTCTTGGTTTGAGATGTTTACAAAATCAGTGGTGTTGAAATTTAGCACCTTTTTACATTTTCTTTATTCCAACTTAATAGAAATTATTAATAACTTCTGCATAAAATAACTACTTCTCATTTATATATAATATTGCCTGCCTAAAAGTATCTGTGACATTTTATAAAAAGGTCATGCTTCTTATGTTGTATGTGACTTAAATGACTGTTTCATATTAAAACTAGTCTTTCCTTATGTACTGCTTACATATACCTGTTTTGGGATATCAGTTCAGTACTTTTATACAATCTTGAATGTGTTCCACATTGGTGACATGTATTTTTGCAACAACTTTTTTGTTTTGATTATAAATTAAAGCATGTCTGAAGTAATACATGCATTAGTTCTGTGGTGTGTGGCAAAGTTAATGTATGTAATTCAAATTGGAAGAAAAGTGTCCAGACTTTGTCCAACATTAACCCTATTGCAAGGGATTAAATTACTATGTAATACAAATTATTTCATATCATGATGTGTTTTAAACTACTCTATGAAGTATGTGAAACATTACACTTTATGAATTGGTAGCTGGCCTGGTGTCCTTGCATAGAATGAGATATGGTAGATGGTAGCAATTCATAACTAATACAGTGAATACTTTTCAAAACACATGGCATTTATGTACAATGTGCCTGATCTTTAAATTTGTTGCTATGTTTTTGCTTAGTAAGAGTTTCACAGTATATCACTAACAAATGAATGCACATTTGATTGCATATAACAAGTGTGACAATCCCATTACATCACTTTCTATGTGGTTTAAAAATAATTTCATTGATTTATTTCTCTTTTGGACACGGATATGAAAATGCAGGATATTGTAGACATCAATGTATTTTAAATTTATTCTTGTAGTGGTCAGTTGCCAATTTTTGTTTGAGGATTTGCTATATTAGAATACTTTCTTCTTTAAAGCCAGAGTGAATTAAATGTACTGAAAAGCAGAACTCTAAAACAATATAACTACCATGCACTACATTTGGCGTATGAGTCTTCTCTCATTTGCATTGAACTAGTATACTTTCTCAGAGGCTCATGTTTTATATAAAAATAAAGGTTCAATTTCAGGCTCTAAGTGCTTTTAGGGCCGGAGCCGATCAAGTGCTTAGTGTCATCATTTCTTATTAACTTAATTAGAAATTAAGGGAGCTTAACACCTCTCTGTGCTTAGCATACAAGTATTAATGTGGTCCTGTATTCTAGCTGGTCCAGGTGTACAACCCTGCACAGCCACCTGCAGAAATTACTCATCCCAAGAGCATAAGAAATACCTCTTTTCACATGTCTGAGTGTGGCCTATGTTGTAGATTTCTGTTACTCTCTTGTATTGACACATGCTGTAAGTCTTTGAATGATTATGGATTCAGCTCCATGTTCTCATCCTTCAAAGATAACTGTGAGGGGAAAAATGTTTCACGGGGAGAAAGATAATGCTGTGACTTAAGTTCCACAGGGAGAATTTTTACATTCTATTTGCATTTTTTGTCACAAACTAGATTATTTTGGTTCAGGAGAAATATAATTTAAGCATTACTCATTGTGCTGTATTATATTTTATGAAGAATGAAAGGAAAACCTTAACAATGCCAATTTATGTCTTTTATATTCTCAACCATTCACCTTCCCTGGTATACCTGGATATCAAAAATCATTTTAAAATCTGAATAACTGTGTAATATACAGAGGGCAATTATACTTCTCATCTCTTTTATGTTTGTTCTTTTCTTTTTCTTTCATCTTTCTTAATGTTGGAATCATCTGGTTCTAAAATGAAAAATGTGGATTTTTAAAATTTGACATACAATCCCTCCTAACTACTTGCACGTTTAGAGTTCGGAGTGGATACTGCATTTCATTATGACCTTTTGATATTTAGTCCATTATGCACATTTTTTCCCTAGAGTAAAGTTGAGTTAATGTAAGGAAGTTACAGATCTACTGCCATCCAAACAGTACATAACATGAGCTGATAAATATTGTTGACATTTCATTTTTAAAACAAAAAATGTTATAACTCTGTCTAGTAGTAGGTATATCATGTTTATGAGATTTTATAGGTCCAGCATTGGTAGAAAATGTATATGGCAAGTTTTCTCACACGCTGCATGTAACAGTGTTGCATTTCTGGTGTTCAGCTTCAGTTGTTTTCAAAATAAAGCTAATTTTTGAGGGGGAAATGCCTGTTGATTTAATGCAGAGAATGCAGCTTGCACAAATTTTAACTTGCCTTGCAGTTATATTGTGAAGATTAATTTGGTTAAGACCCAAACTTGGGCAGGAAACAGTGTAAAATTTCACTGTTCTGAGAAGGAACTCGGGCACAGTAGCTTCTGGGGTGTTCAGCTAATGTGGCAACCTTCAGAGAGTGCAGCATGTCCTCTGCAGTCAACCAACTCCCTGTCCTTGCCCCTTTGGAAGAGGTTACTCTCTTGTAGGGGCACCAGCCCAAAGCAACCCTGGAGCAGAGGCTGCAATGCTGGAAGGCTTCTTGCAACCTGGCCCTATTGCCTGCCTGCATAGGGGTCAGATGTTTGTGGAGTTTTTTGATCATGTGAAGTGCTAACATGATAAAGCTTTATAAAGCTCTTTCACCTTGCTTGGCTCACTGTATAATTTAAAGCAGTTAAAACATAGTAAGTCTATGATTTAATGTTTAAAAGCCGAGTGCTATGGACCCATGTTTAAAGCCAAGGGGTTGGATTCTACTCAAGAAAGCATTACTTAGAATAGAAAGCTTCTCTGGAAAAAAGTTCCAAAGAGAAAGGCAGAGGTGGATATCTGAAAGGAGCAGGAAGAAGGAGATATCCTATGAAATTCAAAGAGAGAGCAAATTTAAAATCAGTATTTTTTTCTCCACACACAGTTAACTTGTGGCACTCGTTGCCATAAGATGTTGTTGAGGCGGAGAAATTAAAAATTTTCAGAAAAGGATTGGATGTTTATATTAATAACTAGAAGATCCAGAGTTGTTGTTTTAAAAATAATTTACTATAAGAATTTTGGAAAGGATATAAACCCTCATACTTAAGGGCACAAACCAACCTGTCACTGTTGAGCATTAGGAATAAACTTTCCCTTTGGGTACGCTATACCCTGACTACGTACTTCAGTTTCTTGTTTTTTGCTGAAGCAGCTGGCACATTCCATTATTGGAAACAGAATACTGCACTAGATGGACCACTAGTCTGGTCCAGTATGGCAAGTCTTGTAAGGTTTCACTTCCTATGAGTCATCATAGCAACAGCTCGATCATCTGCAGAATTAAGCCAGAGAGGTGGAATGCCTGAAACAAAGGGTGTCAATGCACATGTACCAGAATGTGGTTCATGAAGGAGGTCTGAAATGAAGCCCATTTCCTCTCTCTGTTAAAGGGTTTACAAACAAGCAGACTTAGCTTAACTTAAAAAAAATCAATATTACTTACTTCATTACTAGTAAAAGTAATGCTGTTTAGTTTTTGCTTAAATTAAGAATCCCAGCTCACAAGTAAACAGATCAGAATTTGGTAGGTATTTTTTCTTAAGTTGTATATGGAGCTGATTGGTGTAACCAAAGTAGATGCAACTATAATTATGGTTTCAAGTATCAGGGGGTAGCCGTGTTAGTCTGTATCCACAAGAAGTGAGGTTTTTTACCCACGAAAGCTTATGCCCAAATAAATCTGTTAGTCTTTAAGGTGCCACCGGACTCCTTGTTGTTTTTATAATTATAGTTTGTCCTTCTAGAAACTATACTCCATAATTACAGCATGTTCTTTGTAGGTCAAGAATAAATAATGAGCAGTTTGTCTGTAGTACTTTCATTTTGATTGCATCATTTAATTTTTTAAACCAAAGAATACATCTTAGCAACCTAAGCAGAAGACCAGGGTTTAGGATAGATTTAGGACTCATTTCCTCCAAGCTCATGGAAAAAGTGGTGTATGCACCTGGAGTGAACACAGCTTGGTTCTGGATAGGTATGTTTTATTATTTATTTATTTAAATGTAATAATCAAGACTCCTGGTTCCTAGCATCTAACGAGTAGTACAACAAAAATCCCAGAAGCATTAAAATAATAATTAAAACAGGAACTCTGCCAGCTAGCCACCTTAATTTAAAAATACAGTCTTTCCACCTTTTCCTTATCAGCTGATTTATTTATCTTATACCTATCTCTGTAGCATCTGAACACCTCAAATTAATGAATTATTCTCACTACATCCCTGGGTGGTTGGAAAATATTTTCATTCCCTTTTTAAAGATGGGGAACTGTGGCACAGAAATATTCAAGGTCCAATCCTGCTCCCACTGAAGTCAATGGCAAAACTCCCATTTCGTTACTGCAGCTTCATGCCCAAGTCACATGTTAAAGGTTATATGGGGCAAAGTTTTCAAGTGCCCAAATCCCATTTTCCAAGAGTGACTTTGGAGAGTAAATCCTATTGACTTTCAATGAAGATTTCCCCCTGGACATTTAATTCATGGAGCCAGAAATTTAACTCTGATCTCAGTCCCAGTCCCCTGCCTTTTCCGTGTAAGCAACTGCTGATGTTGCCACAGGTGAATAAGAGGGAAAGGATCCACAGAAAAATCTCTATTAATATGTGGTTCATGATCTGAAGAAGTTTTAGAATCCCTGCAATTCCTGATTATATGTGGATAAAATAAATAACAATACTTAACTCTTATACACCACTTTTTCTTTGAACAATTATTTGAAAATATAAATTACATGACTATCGGAAAACAAAATCTGGTATCCTTCACAAACACTAAATTAACTTTTTGAGAGAGAGAGAGAGAGAGAGTGTAAGCAATTTCTCTAGCTCACACTAGAACAGGTAAGTCAAAGGAAGACTTCTTGATTCTTTTGGATTTTTGCAACTAGCTCCAGCGAACCATATACTTCTGAGCAACTAAAAACCTAGTTTGAATTGTAGAAAATCTATATTGTGTGAGATTGACCCTAATGTGTTTGGCCTGACTTTCCAAGGGATGTAGATCAGAAGCAGGATCTAATTACTTGTTCCCCTAATTAGACTTAACTTCGGCAGATAAATCTATTATTGTTTGTCTGATGGAGTAAGTCAAACAGCAATCCACAAACGATATCCTAAGTTTATGAGAGAGTGAATCCAAATAGACAAACTATTTAAGCTAATATCTGGAATGACAAGTACAACCGAATTACTTTTTACATGACATCTGGAATTTCCAGTGTATCACTATTACATTTATCAGCAGCCTTTAATAGTTTTTTTCCAGAATTTCTAAAACTACTAGCAGTCTATTATGGAAACATACTTTGGATAACAAGAGCTGCATTCCTTTCTCTGCTGCTTTAAGTGTGAGTGATGAAAAGCAGAACTGAGAGCCTGACCTTAGATCTTGGTAAGTAAATGAACTAATATTTGCAGTAGGATTTTATTTGTCAGTTAACCTTTGCTATAGCATTATAGAAAGACCTAAAAATAGTACTTAAAATTGCATTTATTTCTGCCACAGTAACATTTTGAGCCCCATGGAAAGTAAATTTTCATTATTTAACACAATTGTTCACAGAACACAATAGAGGGGGCTCCTGCCCCAACTTTTTTTATAATCTAACAGCTAAGGCTTATATCTTGCAATTTCTTGTACAGTAGAAACTCAGAGTTACAAACACCAGAGTTATGAACTGACCAGTCAACCACACACCTCATTTGAAATTGGAAGTATGCAATCAGGCAGCAGCAGAGACAAAAGCAAATACAGTACAGTACTGTGTTAAACTTAAACTACTAAAAATATAAAGGGAAAGTTTAAATTTTTTTGACAAGGTAAGGAAACTGTTTCTGTGCTTGTTTCATTTACAGATGGTTAAAAGTAGCATTTTTCTTCTGCATAGTAAAGTTTCAAAGCTGTATGAAGTCATCATTCAGTTGTAAACTTTTAAAAACCATAATGTTTTGTTCAGAGTTATGAACAACCTCCATTCCCGAGGTGTTCATAACTCTGAGGTTCTACTGTACTTGGAAAAAGAACAGGAGTACTTGTGGCACCGTAGAGACTAACAAATTTATTTGAGCATAAGCTTTCGTGGGCTACAGCCCACTTCATGAGATACCCAGAATGGAATATATATATATATATACATACACACACACTCACATACAGAGAACATGAAAAGGTGGAAGTAGCCATACCAACTGTAAGAGGCTAATTAATTAAGATGAGATATTATCAGCAGGAGGAAAAAAAAACTTTTGTAGTGATAATCAAGATGGCCCATTTTAGACATTTGACAAGAAGGTGTGAGGATACTTAACATGGGGAAATAGATTCAATATGTGTAATGACCCAGTATGTGGGTGGATCCCTGCACCAACTCAGAGCTCAAATGCAGTTAACAGGACACTCTGCCCAGGCAAAATCAGTTGCATGATAAGGGTCTTCTAAGGCCTCAGTCTTGCAACTGGCTCTTCACAGGCACAGGGATCCACCTCCATGGTGCCCACTGCAGGATTCACAAAGTTAATGTGATCACGATTCACTTAATTTAAGCCCTGATTCTGGAAACAGATTCTCATTATACACTTGTGATTGGTTTTGAAAAGCTACAGCTATAACTCAATTGCACCTGAGAGAAGTTTGCCTCATGTTAAAATGTTTAAAAATCCTGGAAAATTCACAATTTTAAACTAGTACTCCACAATTATTTACCCAAGTTCATTCCTTGGGTGACCAGATGTCCCGATTTTATAGGGACAGTCCTGATTTTTGGGTTTTTTTCTTATATAGGCTCCTATTTACCTCCCCCCCCAACCCCTGTCCCAATTTTTCACGTTTGCTGTCTGGTCACCCTATTCGTTCCCCAGCTACAAACTACACAAAACAAAATAAAGGCCTGGTCTACAGTGGGGGGTGGGGGGGAGGGGGATGTCGATGTAAGATACGCAACTTCAGCTACAGCAATAGCATAGCTGAAGTCGACGTATCTTATTTCGACTTAACTCCCGTCCTCACGGCGTGGGCCCCGTCGACTCCACTACCGCTGCTCGCCCTGGTGGAGTTCCGGAGTTGACGGGAGCGCGTTCGGGGATCAATATATCACGTCTAGACGAGACGCGATATATCGATCCCCAATAGATTGATCGCTAGGGTAGTCTGGATGTACCCTAAAAAACATAAAGTGCTAACGGCCCTGATTCTCTGTTCCTGAATTTTGTGCAGGTCCGGAGGGTAGGAAGCTAAAATGGTAGTTCTAGGCTCCTTTACACATCATGGCAGGTTTAACTGGTTTATTCTTGGACTCCCCATGGGCCTTGCTCAGCTGAAAATAGCCAGAGCAACGTGTGCTCATCTCAGCCACCCCCTCTTTCCAGCGTGCTGGAAAATGCAAAGGGGAGGAGGTGATCGAGTTGAGCCGAGCCAGGAACGGGAGCTGGCGGAATTCCCTGCGGGCCAGTCTCACCAGCAGTAATGCAAAGGGGCCCCCGGCAGAGCAGAGCATCTCTGCTTTCCTCGGTTCCTCTGCCTGAGGCGAGACGCGACTTTAAAGGGCTACGTCAACTTCCAGCTGACGCTGGTAGAAATGAACTTTGTTGAAAGACTTGGGCCCAAACGCGGTCGCTGAAGGGCCGGGACCTCTGCGGTCTGCGCCTTTGAGAGCGCGGGAGAGAAGCTCCGTCCCCTCGCTTGGGAGAGTGGGGGTCCCGTACAGCAGCGGGCGAGAGGCCTGCTGGGGAGGATGTGCGCGGGGAGAGACGAGACCCCAACGCGGATCCGGAGCTGAGGCGCTGGAGGGGGTCCGAGGCATGAGAGACTGAAGAGTTTCTGCCCCAGAGCCCGTCACGGGTGGTGCCCGACCAGGCTTTCCCCTGGCGGCTCTAAGAGCCTGAGGCGCGGATGAGGTGTCTGGCCACGTCGGTCATCACTCCCTAGCTGCCTGCATACGGGCCTACAAATCCCGGCGTGCAATGTTCCCCCATGGGCGCGGATAGCCCAAAGTCCCAGCATGCAACGGTGCCCTGCCTGGGCAGAAGTCCTCCCCGCTCTCTTCCCGTGTTACGTAACAGCGGGGCACCCCTTAGGCCTGGCTCCAGACCCGGAAGTGCTAGTGGGAGGGCAGCGGAAAGTCTGAGCCCTCCCCTAGCAACCGCTGCAGAGCGCCCTTAGCAGCGGCGGCCATGCCGGTCTGGGTGCGGGATTACAGCTGGCGGCAGACGGACACTGCTGTTTTTCTCTCCCTGCCGATGCGGGGTGCCCGGGTCACCCAGGCAAACATCTTCTGCAGTGACCAGTATCTGAAGGTGGGGCGGCTTCTGGTCTTGTCCCCCGCTCCCAGTCCCAGCCTGAGCAAAGCCAGGCCCTGTCTTCCTTACGCCTTTCCCACTCGCCTCTTCGGGGGAGTCCCTAGCCACCACCGACCTCCCTGTGGGTCGGCCTGAGCAAGGAGGCAGCGCCCCTTCCGTTTCGCATCTTCTCCACCAGCTAGGAATCCCTCCTCCCGTGTCCTTTCCACTCTCATCTGTCTCTCCCTTTTCCCGCGTTGAGTGTGGCAGCAATAGCAAAGTGAACGCGAGCAACGATTCCTGATCGCTGCTGGGCACAAAGCCTGCCAGAGGTCAGGGTTTTGTCGCTGATGCTCTTCAACCTGTGCCACCAGCCGAGCAACCCTTTAAGAGAGTTGAAAAGGATTTGGAGGGGAGAGGTAGACTAGAATTCGTTAAAGCAGGAAGGAGGAGCCTTCAGACTCACTGCTTTAAGGTGGCACATGTCTCGCAAGCACAGTGTTTTGTTGTTCTTCAGCACAGACACATGCGATTGCCACCACCGTGTGTACGTGGGTGCTAGTTAGCAGATACAGACATTAACCTTTGGGAGCTATGTTGGTTTATTGTACAAATATGGCATATTATATACACAAATGAATAAATTAGACAAGGGAAAAGTGATAGAGAGGAGTTTGTCTTCCCCAAACAAACTACAATTTATGGAGGGAAAACCATTAAATACTAAATATTGATTCATAACATAACAGTATTTTTGTTAAACTGACCTATGATAGGTGACTGGGGAAATATTCTTCAGCCACCACTCCTGTGTATCACACTTTAACTACATGTAGTAATTGTTCTGGGTTTATCCTTTACCTCCAAATTTTTCTTTATAGTATTGCCTTAAAATCAGATATAGGGTAGACTCAGGATTTTAAACCAAACTCCATCAATTAATGATTTGTAATCCATGGGTCAAATTTTCCACTTGTTTACAGCTCTGCAACCCTGTGGCTTACACAAGAAAAACCGAGGGCAGATTCTCGCACCTTTGGAGAGATTTTCAATCACTGGGTGTTAGGAACTTAACTCCCATTGGAAGTCTTTCAATGGAAGTTGGGCATCAAACTGACTTTTATGGCTTTGAAAAGTTTCCTTTACTGTAACAAGAAAAAAAATACAACAACATGGTAATCAATGCAATAATTACTGGGAAATTGTGCATACACTTTTAGTTTGTATTAAACTAAATATTTTTCTTAAAAAGTAATTTTCAGTGTCCCATGCTTCTCATTGTACTTTGCTGGGTATTTTTTTCACATGATTGCACTTTTTGTGAATACAGTATATGTAATGGAAATTGTAAAGCTGCAACTAGTGTTCCAAAGTAATATATTTTATTACTAGTTTTTGTATTGGTTAATACCATAAGCATTTGCAAGCAACTAATAATTTGCATTATCACTGCAGCTCTAATTCTTTCAGTGTTGTTTGGCATTTCACACTGTATACTAGAATTTTAACTCATTTATAAATATTATTTTAATATTTTAATGAGACAGGTTAAGTTACTGTAAATGATCTCTTCTACAGCAAATTACAGTCTAGTTAGTGGAGTCTCTCACTCTTACCAGCTGTTATGATTTTCTTGGTTTATTATGAGAAAACGTTTGCTAAATACTTAAAATATACATTAGGGATTTATTATTTAGCCACAATCTTATTAAACATTTTATTTAACAAAATGTTTTCAAAACTTTTAAAATGAATACACATGTATATTTATTTGCTATTTACATTTTATAGGTAAATGTTCCTCCATTTTTATTTGAAGCCATTCTGTATGCTCCTGTTGATGACACTAGTAGTACAGCAAAGATCAAAAATGAGACCATTTTCTTCACTTTATATAAAAAAGAAGTGGCCATGTGGGAATCCCTGGTTATGGAAAATGGTAAGTTGTCTGCTGTGGAACATAGACTGACTATTTAAAAAACGGGCAAAAAACCCCAAACCCTTTCCCCACAAGAATTCATAGATAACATGAAGTAGCACATTGCAGTTTTTTTCTTTGTAACAAAACTCATGCATTTCTTCCCTCTCCAACCTCAAGCCCCAGTTGAACCGTAACAGAAACACAAACACACCAACAAATATTAACCTAGAAAATCAAGGTTCAAAGAACCTTAAATCTGCCCCATGAGCAACCCCTTGAGAAGAACCAGAAACTTAGGCAATGTGAGGCTATAGCTAACACACAGGCTACTTCCAAATGTAAGAACACATTTTATTGGATTGATTTATTCTTAATGCTAGAGAGTAATTCCTCACAGCCATTTCAATGAAAGTGCATCTTTCAGTTTCATCACAAATTCTAATGACTTTGTGCTTACGAAGAGCCATTTGAACTCCACAGAAGTATACAAACTTGCTTTTGGGATAAATAAAAGCAAACTTTCTGCACTGATCTCCAAACAAACTTTTGCTTCCAAATATATAAGTATTGTTGGAAATGTCTGGTTTATTGTATTTAAATAGTCCATATATACACAAACAAATCTAAGACTAGAAATGACTATGTGGCAAGAGTATGGGGCTTTGGAAAGGCAAGGGATCACATTTGATGTCTGAGATGTGTATAAAGCTAATATCCTAGAGATGACTGTAGACTTAAGGAAAATAAATCTGAGTTTTCAAAACTCATTTTTGTAAGGTTACCTCTTATGTAGTAAGTGTGGAAGTATATGTTGTGTGGAACATGGAATGTTGGCAATGGCATGGGGCAAAGTAAAGGTTGTTTGGGTGACTTCAGCTGTGCATGTCCATATTTTCCAATGCTTGGGGAAGATGGTGTTTATGAATCGTTTGAGGGGAGAGGAATGTATGTGTGTGTTTGAAGAAAACTACCAGGTTTTCTTGAGGGTTTTTTCTCTCCCAGAAATACCAGGAACCTTAGATTAGATAGATAGATAGATAGATATCTCATTTCACCATTTTCCATTCTTGCTGATTGCTTCCTCTTTGCATTACAATTATATTTGACAATTAAAATAAATTAGCTTAACTTTTGTTATAGGTGCTTTCTGTCTCTTGTACTGTGCAATGTTTGGATAGCAAGCTCTGTAGATGAATATTAAATCCAAACCAAATTATTCTTTGTGATAATTAAAAAGAAAAAAGAAACATTTCTACAGATTATAGGTCTTGTGGAACCTTGTTATAAAACATAGTATTTGTGTTTAAGTGAAGTTTATATTGTCCCTTTTAAAGATGTGATTAACAGAGGGTTGCATTGTGCACGAAAGCTTATGCCCAAATAAATTTGTTAGTCTCTAAAGTGCCACAAGTACTCCTCGTTCTTTTTGCTGATACAGACTAACACGGCTACCACTCTGAAATTTTTGCCACTCTATCTGAGATGCAATAATGAAATAAATTCTGTTTTCCTGTACACAGTGAATAACACATGAACCTCAGTCTTACATTTCTCAAATGATTTTCTTTCAGGAGACAAAGAGAAAATGCAGAGAATAAGAGAGAATGCTGTCATAAAAGCCCAAGAGAAGGCAGATGAAGAGGAAAAATCAAAAGCTGTTACAAAGCGAGAACATAAAAAATTTGCTCTGGAGGCCACAATGAAGGTAAATTTATATGCGACTCTACAATAATTAAGTACAAGAAATATAATCTTAAATAATTGCCAACTAATTTGACAGGTTTGGGGTTAAATATGTTGTTTAAAAATATCTTTTCTAAAGTAGTAATCTTTATTAAAGTGGCAGGAGAGTTTGCATAACTCTTAATTCCTCTTTTACTTGTAGTTTGGGTATATCCATTGCGAGGTCTGGAAACCATATAGAGGAAAACAATTATGAAAAATTATGAAAAAATTAGGACTGTCAGCACATTATATTATAAACTGACTTTTTTTGGTGAGATCAGGCAGGTGTTGGTATCTAAAGGGAGATTAGGATTGCCATAATTTGGCACAAAATGTAAGGCAAGCTCTATATATGGATTAAGCAATGTAGATTCTAAGAAATATTTTATTCATCTTCATTCTGGAATATAAAATTTGTTGTATGCAGCTTTTGCACTACTGCTCATCCTTAGTCACTTACCTCTGTTCTACAATGCTTCCACTCACAAAAAATGGTAACTTTTACATGTCTTTATTCGCACCAAATTGCTTTTCTGCATACCACATGAAATGACCATTTATGTTAACTTTTTGTGTTGTTAAGATATTCATAAAATGCAAGAGGACTATGTTCCTGGCTTCCCCCTCTTCAGAGTAATTCCTTATAAATATGCTAAGCCTGGTTACTTTTTTGTGAATCTATATATTCATAGATTCCCAGTCCAGAAGGGACTATTTTGAACATCTAGTCTGACCTCCTGTATAACTTGGGTCATAGAACTTCCCAAAAATAATTCCGAGAGCATATCTTTTAGAAAAACATCCAATCTTGATTTAAAAATTGTCATTGATGGATACTCCACCGTGATCCTTGGTAAATTGTTTCAATGGTTACTTACCCTTACTGTCAAAACTTTATAGCTTTTAAAAATATATCAAGCAGAATCTTAGAACTTTCAAGATTGCATATGCAGGAATCACTTTCAGCGTCAGGCAAATAGAGTTACTTCTTGAATAGAAATGTGCCAGCTATTTTACATGAGCATCTAAATTTCAGGAGAAATGGGAAATTAAGAATAATGTATTCAAATGAAACTGTATATTTTACAGCTCTACATTTCCCTGAGATACTGAGCTGGAATATGGTTAGGATACTGGAGTAGAACCCTTACTCTCTTGAATAGTGCCATAGGATCTTTTGAAACCAGAAGTGGTCAGAGACTCCATCAAAAGGATGTAGCAGCTCCAGTAACGAAGTATTCCTAAGTATCATGCGGGAGGAGTGGTCCATTACTGAATCAAATAAAAGAATGTTACATGCTAAGCTTCTACATATTCTTTGTGAGTCTCCTACCAAGTACTATAAAGCAGCCCAAAGTGCTAAGAAAAATGTAGGTTCTTCAGAATAAAACAACTCCATGAGCATCACACTTTCCTAAATTTTTCTAAGCCTGCCCCTCTAATAGTGATATTAAAATAGCTGAAGGCATATATTTTTCAAGGTCTGTGAGTTATTTTAAGTATTAATACATATAAGCCAATCAGTTTCCTCCTTTTCCAACTATTTTTCTGGAATTCCTCAACTCTGTATATAATGTAACATATTAATAATAGTGCTGTATAGAATTGGGAAGATACTTATGCACTCTCATTTCTGTTCTGCTCATTTTCACCAAACATTACATGTTCTGATAGTTCTGCAATTCAAACAGCTAGAAGAAACAGAGAGAAAAAGAATTGAAAATCTGAAAGAAGAGGAGCGACAGAAGGTCACTGAGGAGCTGGAGATATGGAAAGAAAAGCAGAGAAATGAGGAGAAACAAAGAAGGATACAAAGAGAAGAGGAAATACGTAGAGAAAGGAAACTAATAGAGGAGAAGAAAAAGCAAGAAATAAATAAAACTCTAAAGGCAGGAACTTCCAAGGCTAGAAGTATACCTACAAAAGGTGGTATTTGTGGAATAAAGCTTTACCTTTTTTATAACCTAGATACTATGTTTGTTGTATGAAACATTCAATTCTTAAACCTTTCTAGGCATTTCTGGTATTTTCTACCTTCATATCTAGATACTGTACTGAACTAGTTATTCTGCTTTTTGACTCCAGTTGGTTTAGTCTCTTGTTTACTTGCTGTCAATGTGTTGAGTCACACATAAGGGCAGATTTTGGTTCTTAGCATTTTTTTGATCCTTTCTTTCCTTCCAAGACTCTCAACACAATGCTGTCTTTTTGGTGAGAGTATAAGGAGGTGGCATTATTCTTCATTACAAATAATACCATTCCATTAAATGCTTCTGCTTAATGCTAATTTAATAGTGATTTCTGTACACTCCTAAACCACACACGTATTGGATTAAAACAGTCTTCTCTCTCGTGGAACATAGCTACCAAATTCCTGATACAAGCGGAAGCGTCTCAAAACGTTAAATGATATTCAGTGTAAAATATACTGCAAAATGATTGGGTGACTTCTGCATATACCCTTCAGTGTAAGCCCCCATTTTCCAAATCCCAGATTTGTCTCTGTATCTGAAATTCATATGAAAACCAAAACTAATTTGTACAAAACTTTTGTAAAATTTGAGTTTCATATATCCTACAGGAATTTTACATACTCTGAGTTTAATTGTGTATAACGATATAACCAGGTTGCATAAAACAGCACAATTTAATGTTTTTAGAGCTATTTCATCAGGATACAAAACAGAAAAACTTGGTGTACTTCTACTTTATAAAACTCTAAATTAGGTCTACTTGAAAATATGATGGGAAAAGAGAAAATGAAAAATAAATTTGCTTTCTTCTGTTGTTCTAATTCTATCTTTGCAGCTGGTAGTTCTGGAAATATATTTTCAGAGAAGTTAAAAGAAGAATCTTTCCCTGCTCCTCGATCTGCTGGTACTATTAAAATTAGTTTCACATCTCGGGTGTTTCCTACAGCTCTCAGAGAATCCAGAGTAGCAGAAGAGGAAGAGGTAAAGATAGTTTTCCATTTTGCAAGGGTGCTCTCACTGTACTCAGAGGTGATTGTTGTGCTATTCATTCATGTGGCCATTTACAGTCTATAGCAGGGGTTGGCAACCTTTCAGAAGTGGTGTGCCGAGTCTTCATTTATTCACTCTGATTTAAGGTTTCGCGTGCCAGTAATACATTTTAATGGTTTTAGAAGGTCTCTTTCTATAAGTCTATAATATATAACTAAACTATTGTTGTATGTAAAGTAAATAAGGTTTTTAAAATGTTTAAGAAGCTTCATTTAAAATTAAATTAAAATGCAGACTCCCGGACCGGTGGCCAGGACCCTGGCAGTGTGAGTGCCACTGGAAATCAGCTCATGTGCCACCTTCGGCATGTGTGCCATAGGTTGCCTACCCCTGGTCTATAGGAATGAATCTTCTATTGCTTTACTAAACCAAGCAGGGCAGCTCACGTTTTGATAGTAATATTGTTGGAAATAGAAGTTACAACGTGGAAGTTTTATTCTTGATATGAGACTGATACAGCTTTACCAATCTTCCTGTAATTTTAGTAAGTCATATGTACTTCTCATTTCTTTTCCTTTGTTGAAATTAGTTTAAACTAGAGATATTGTGAACAATTGAAATGGTCACTTCTAATTTAACTGCAATATAAATATATTCTCTTCTATACTTATGTGGAGTAGTGGTCATCCACCTTTAACTTAAGATAGTTATATCCCTTATTATCCATTTCCTGTGGTTGTAGAGTGCTGAATGTTGCTTTGGTCCTTCCTGTCATCCTTTATATATTTCTTTGAGTCCTGTTATATACATTCCAAGTTTGTATTTCCTATGAATTTCCTGCTGAATATGTACAGGTTGCTAAGTTAGTTTGAAAAGTAAACTATTCTATATCACTGATCACTTTTTCCATCATGGATGAACTGCAAATTGAAACTTTGGTTGTACTGTGTAATACGACCATTATAGCAGGGAAAACAGGACTATAAATTTAAGTCTTTGAAATAATTTATATTAAATTTCAGTCTGGAAAAACAGTCACATTATTTCTTGAAATTATATTTTTAAAGAAACACAACTGTACCAAGTTATTGTAATCACCATGAATATGCACAATAAGTAAGGCCTACTTAATTCATGATATTGCAGAAATTGTGGATCCCGCAATATTTGGCTTCCACTGCAGTTTCGACAGCAGGAGCCCCACCATGCAGGAGGTTGACAGTGGGACCCCCAAGAAGCCGACAGTGGGAGTCCCTGTTTTCAGCCCCGGATGGGAGCTGAAAAGACGCCAGTTTCCCATTGATTCCTCAGTCTTATTTATATGTAATATTAAAAGAAATGTTTCCAACTAAATTACTTTTCACCTAAGATGTGATCAGATTTACAGAAATAGCTTGTTTTTATTTTAAACTGTTTTAAAGAATTATACATTTATAGTTGAATTCCATACCAAATTTCACTTCATATACAAGGATGAAATGCATTCTGTGGGGTAAAGATCCAACTAGATTATGACATTTTTTAGTCTAAATTCACAATCTGTTCTTTGGGACTCTGTTGGATGAGCATTGATACATTCTTCTTTGTAGTCACAATAGACAAACAAAAAACAGTTTACTAGCCAGGCAGTACCGCACCCTTGCTGCTCATTTAGAAACAAAATATATGAGGAAACTTAGAGCTTTTCTTGAATCAACAACTAGGTGTTTCTACCAAAAATGGGATAAAAAAATATTTCCTGGATAAGTAAGTGAAAGGATGAAAGCAAAATGAAAACCTAAATCTCAAAAAGTAAATCCTATAGAAACAAAATGCTAATATGTTGCACACACATCTTCCTACCACAGTGGCTGCATAAGCAAGCAGAGGCTCGTAGAGCAATGAATGCTAATTTTTCTGAGCTGAAGGATTTAAATGAGGAGGAGAAGAACCCAGACTGGTTGAAAGACAAAGGAAAGTGAGTTAAACTCATTCCAAGATATGCTTACAATCATGTATCAGAAACATAACTACTGAATGCATTATTTTTAGGAAATTAAATGCTGATTCCATTTTTTAGTGTAGAAAATTTTTAGTTTGTATGTTACCCTTCCATGTAGAATTTTATTTTCCATCATTGTTTTCACTGGATGATTTACAAATAATATATACACCACATCTTTGAGTTCTAGGAAAAATGCCTTATAGTGAGTGTGTGGCCTAGGGGATAGTGCACTGGATTGGACTCGGAAGACTGCTCTGCCACTGGCCTGCGAGGTCACTGGCCTGCTTAGGCAAATCACTTCCCTCCCTGTGTCCATGTGTCAAATGGGAATAATGATGTTGACCTCCTTTGTAAAACTCTGCAATCTATGGATAAAAAGTGCTATATAACAACTAGATGGTATATTAACATTATTATTATTATTATATGAGACGCTCAATCTGTTTAGTTTATTTAAGAGAAGGTTAAGAGGGGACTTGATCATAATCTATATGTACCTACATGGGGAAGAGATTCCTAATAGCAGATGTCTCTCTAATCATGCAAAAAACATCCAGTCGTTGGAAACAGAAGCTGACAAATTCAGACTAGATGTAAACTGCAAATTTTTAACAGGGAAGGTAATTAATCCATGGAACAATGTACCCACTGATGTGGTGGGTTCTCGATCACTTGAAGTCTTTAAATCAAGACTGGGTATCTGTATAAAAGATATGATAAAGCCCAAATAGACATTATCAACTTGATGCATGAATTATTGAGTGGGAGTCTATGGCCTCTGTTATTCAGGTGTTTGGACTAGGTGATCGTTATCTGAGAAAAGTCTGGCATTAAAGTCTATTAATCGTCTGCACCATATCTGTGGAAATATGCTCTGCTTTTCCTGTTCTTCAATGCTGTGTTACCTTACTTTGTCTTAAACTTTTGCCAACCTGGCTGCCAGCATGAAGTTTGAGTAGATTGTATCTACATTGTTTATTATCCATGAAAGCTTATGCTCCCAATACTTCTGTTAGTCTTAAAGGTGCCACAGGACCCTCTGTTGCTTTTTACAGATTCAGACTAACACGGGCTACCCCTCTGATTGTTTATTATGTCATCCAAAATGTCATAAATGATCAGTTTTTAATGGAATTTTTTTCAATTTGTTTGAAATTGTTAGTTTAGTGCAAATTGTTTACAATAGGTAGGCATTCTCTATTGTATTATGTTTTTCCTTGTTTTAAAATGTACTTTTTATTATGTTTTCAGCAAAATGTTTGCAACAGGAAACTATCTTGCAGCTGTAAATGCCTATAACCTTGCAATTCTGTTAAATAATAAGATTCCAGTACTATATCTGAATCGTGCTGCTTGTCACCTTAAATTGAGAAACTTGCACAAGACCATTGAAGATTCATCTAAGGTATAAATATATTACACAAAGTAGATTTTTATAGTTAATTTCCTTATAACATGGATATATTAAACTAACATATAGCTACTTTTTCTGTCAAGCAAGAATGTAAACAGTTATGGACACTATATAACAGCTTAAGTTAGATACATTGACAATGATGTGTCAACATTTTGGATTGGTCAGCCCTGATGATAGATAAAAATGACTATTAAAGGGTTGGATTAAAGGAGAAATGATTGGCTAATGATGGTTTCAAAATTTTTGTTTATGCAGTATAATCGCACAAGTTGGGACTTGATAGATACAGTAACTCTTCTTTTATAAAAGAATAGTGCCCTTCAAGAAAAGGACATAAACAGTTATACTTACTCTTTTTAAAAAACTTTTAGTGACAAAGTTTTATAGAATATACCCACATAAATTTCATAATCTGTCATGTCATTCTGCACTTAGTATGAAGAATTAAAAAAAAACAAACCCAACAATAATCCAAAAAATTCTCTTAAAAGATTGCTGGAACTTCTCAATATTTGATCAACCACTGCTTTTGAAAAGACAGAAAAACTCTATGTTCTGTTATCTAATAGTGCTTCAGCACAATTTGTACTGTGTTTTTACTTAGTTTATTTAAAAAAAAAAAAATTACATGACACGTATGGATATTTTAAAAAAATGGGCCTCAAAATCATTGTTTTGAATTAAGCACTCCATGAGGCTCTAAACTTGTTTTTCCAAGTGACCGTAGTAATGAGATCAATATTTTGTTTGTAGCACTATTAGTGATATTGGACTATGATAATGGAATATATTTGCTGTTTACAAATAATCGTTAACACTTTATGCATCAACCTAAGATCCAGATTCTCTATCGTGGGAAATTTGCACTTGTAAAACTGCACTTGCATTTTCGCACCTGCAAACAAATTGTGAATGCAAATCTTAGTGGTTACACCACAAACCAGATAATTAAATGAGAATGCAAATTTTTGTGGGTGCAGTTGTATCTGTAAATGGGAGAAAGAAAATCTGTCTCTAAATATCTTGGGTGTTTTTATTTGTAAAGGCACTAGAATTACTGATACCACCTGTTCCAGACAATGCTGATGCTAGAGTGAAAGCTTACGTGAGGCGTGGGACAGCATTTTGTCAGCTGGAATTGTATGCTGAAGGTAAGAATTCAGGCTCTGAGTTTGCAAACGCTTATGCATGTGTTTAAAATTACATGAGAGTAATCCGATTAGGATCAATGAGGGCTACTCATATGCTTAAATCTTTTCAGTATTGGGGCCATAATGTTTAAAGAACTTCTGTTTTTATTGCTGATATACATATATGTATAATATGAAACATTACAGTTAAATAATACAGTTATATAATAACATTACAGTTATATACTGCAAAAAGTGAAAAATCTTAAACTCCCAAATTTTTCCAAAGATGTAAAAATATATAAACTGCTTTGTATCCAGTTTGAGACTATATAAACCTTTTCACCACTTACATCTGTTTTATAATTTCTTACTCCCCCTTAAACTCGTTACGGCTGTTCAAACTACTCTATTCACAGGTTATGGCTTTGTCTGCACTAGCAATTCTGTTGGTAAAACTTTTGTCAGTCAGGGGTTTGAAAAAAACACACCCGACTGACATACATTTCACCAACAAAAGTGCTGGTGTGGACATTGCGATGTTGGCAGGAGAGCCTCTCCTGCCAACATAGCTAATGCCGCTTGTTGGGGCTAGTTTAATTATGCTGTCAGGAGAGCTCTCTCCTGCCAGCAAAGAGCAGCTACACAGGAAACTTTACAGCAGCACAGCTGTAACCTTAAAACTGTACCGCTGTAAGATCCATAGTGTAGACATAGCCTTAGTTTTCTTTTTGCATTCTCAGCTTCATGCCTTCCTACATCCTTTTTCTCCTCTTCAAAACCTACTTCTTCCAGAAATATTTCTTATTTTCTTCTCATCAATAATCACTGCATCATTGCTTATCTGAACAGTACATGTATCTATTCTAAATTAAACGCCAATCCTGCAATCGAATCCATGTGGTTGGACCTTAGTGCCTGTGTGCATACCTAATAACTTCAGTGGAGTACCACAGAGACTCAAGTCTCTGTCTGTGCAGATCCAGTTGCAGGTTTGAGGCCTTAGGAGGCAGGCTCTTTAGGGCAAAGAATGTGACTAAGTGAGTTTGCAAAGCACCATGTAAATATATAAAAGGTTCTGTTTTTGTTTTAGAATAATGTTTTAAGTTTTAATAATAGTTTAAGATTTTAATATAGCTGTGTGATATTGCCATTAAAAACAATTTTTAGTCATATGAAATTATTAAATAAATACTTGCATACAGCCCAAAGTTAAAGACCATATTTTGTTCTGCTCCAAATCCCATTCAGTAAAATTATCTGAAACTCAAGCTCTCTAACCTTTACTTGCATATAACTTGGGGAAAGTTACTTCCAACTAGTTGTTAAAAAATATAAATACTGTTGTATATAGGATTAATAATTTGCTTGCTGTATTAATATTAGGTCTCCAGGATTATGAAGCTGCTCTCAAGATCGATCCTACAAATAAAACTTTAGAACAAGATGCTGAGAAGATTCAACATATAATTCATGGAACTGCACAAGATTCTTAACAAAGTCTAGAATCAGCATGGTGGTGTATTTAACAGACAGGAATCAGGAAAACACTTATTTCAAATTCTGCCTAAACCAGTGAAACCACCAGACATTTTGTTGCTGCACTCATCCCAGTTATAAAATTGGGTAAAAGAGAAGTTACTTCTCATAAGAACTACTATAATTTAGGTAAATATAGTGCAGAAAGAGAAGTAAATAATACACATTTTATTTTCTTACCTGTTTCCAAAATTGTCATTTGTTTTCTTTGTATGAAATATTGGCTAGCCTGAATAACAGAACATAATTTACTATATTTAATTTCAAATCTGTTATTAAGTAATCAAATGTAGTCTCATGGATTTTTAAAACAACTTCAGTGGTTTAGTCAACATTATTAACCATGTTCATAGTTTTGCTACCAAAGTTAAAGTGCTAATGTAGAAAGGAACAGCCATCAGAACTGTTGTGAAATCAGAAGCCATCCAATTAGAAATATTTCACATAGGACTAGAAATTACATAATGCTCATATTGTATATGAATTTGCCAAAACAAACAACCCTAAAACACTTTCTTAAAAAACTGGAGCCAAAACATTCAGCTCCCATTGAAGACAAAATTTTCAGAGCTTGGTGCCTGTCAAAATCAGGCTATGTATGTAGGTGCCTAACTTTGAATTTAGGTAGTTAACATCAGGCACATGACTTGGAAAATCTTGGTCTGGGAGAGGGTTAATATAATCCTTGTAAAATGCAGTAAAGTATTTGAGTGTTAAGCAATGTATATTAAATGTTTCTAACCTATTCAAAAAGATTTGACATATATTGATTGAACTGACCAAACAGTTATGATGCAATTGTAATTTTGTCAGTAGTAATGCATTTTAAATGAAAAACAGCCAGCCTACTGTTGGCTAAATACATCTGTAGATCTTTTATTTCATAATGGCATTAAATTAATTTTGTTATAAAGTGTTCTATTAATGGATCACTTAAACCTGCCAGAATCTTAAAGTACATCTACACAGCAATTAAGCACCTGTGGCTGGCCCGGGTCAGCTGACTTGGGTTGGAGTCTGGGCTCTGGGAGATGTGGTTGTGGGAGTGTTGGGGATAACCGGATAGGAGCTTAACTGGCCCTGTTTGAGACTAGGGAGCACCAACAAAATATGACTATCTTCCCAAACAAAACCAAGTTGGGCAGCCCTAGAGATGAGGAAAAGAGAAGCTGAGAACCAGTAACCAGTTGTGGATCCCTGATTCTCCTCCAGCCCCAGAGCAGGTTAGAGCAGCCTGCAGGCTGCCTTAATTTGTGCCAACTGGTTATGGTCCCTAAAGACTACATCCCATCTGGATATAGCGAGAGCATATTGTGCTCAAGCCACTTTCTCCCTGCTCCTGACATGCTCCTTTTCCATGCTGCAGCGAGGGAAGCACTGAAGCAGGTTACACTGGTTCTATGCCCCATGGGGACTCTCTCATGCAAGGAGAATCCCTAGAGGATATGTGAATGGTTTCTGCTCCCTTTATGCCATCTGCATTAAATGGAGTGGAACAGGGCAGAGAATCTGCCCCAAAAGTACTGATTGTGGCCCTTTGACTTTTTTGAACTAAAGCCTGGCCCTTAGGCTGAAAAAATTGGATCCCACTGGGTTTGTTAATGTGGTCTGGGATACCATTATACTTGTTTTAAACTTTTGACTGTTATTTCTGAGTATGCTTGGCATTGATGGCAAACAGCTATGATGCATTACTTAATCTCATTCTGAATTTCTTTCTTAGGTTACTAATTCGTTCCTGATTTGACAATTTGGGAATTTCTGACACTCTGGGAATTTTATGCAATAGGGCCCTGCCACTCCTTAGAACCAGTAGTAGACACTATATTACACCCTCTTTAAGCATGGTGAAGCAGCTGTGCATAATGCCTCCCAGTTCTCCGTTTGTTATCCCTAATGCAGGGCTGTGATTAGCATTTACCCATTTTTGCTGAAATGTAACTTTTTGTTTCTCACTTATTCTGAATGCCACTTCTTTGGGACCAAAAGACACAGTTACTGATGTTCACAAGGTATTATCTGCCTGAAGTTTTCATTTATTCTACGTGTTTTTTCTCTGAGCTGTCTGTTCCATACAGTGAATGTTTTATTCCAGAGCATGTGATTTATATTTAATCTTCTGTTCAGACTATATTTTACATACGAGGACAAAATGAACCATACTTGCATAAAATTCCCAACCCAACTTTTAGCTGCCCTCAACCCAACCTCTATATTTGTGCCTTCAAAACCCCTATTTATCAAGCAAACGTGTGCACCTAACAAAGATTTGTATGAGTGAATTCCCATTTACCCATTGCTAAAAATATGGTCCATCCATGTTTAAATATAGAAGTTCAGTTACTTTTGTTTTCATATTTGTGTACCCTTCGGTTTAAATTAGTATTTTAATGTGCATATTGTAACAGTACCTATAGATTAAAACATTTGTCTCACATGCAAACCTCAAATTAAAGGGCTGTACATGGGGAAAACTACACTTATGTTAAGGATAGATGGCATCCCCCCTTCAGCAACTCAGAGGCAGTGTGCATAGCTTGGTTTTGGACACTACATTTCAGCCAGTAAGTTGCCTGCAAACTGTTGCATCACCTCCCTCAGACTTGTGTTGTGTTCCAGTCGATCAGTGCATTTATCGGATCCACTGACTGTTATCCTGACCTATACAAAATACTTTCTCCATGTTTTGTGCAGAAAGTTTACCACTGAACCTCTTCTCCATACAGAACTGTACAGTCCCCACCTTTATGCAAAAAATGTTGGGAACAGCTTTAAGGTTTTGACTTTCCTCAACTGTGGAAGGAGTTGCAGAATTTGTCTCTGCGTAAGTTGCACAGTACAAATACTAAGATGGAAGCAGAATACAAACCTGTTAAAGGACAATCTGCTCACATTAAAATTATATTGAGACAAATTCTGCACTCACTTAACCTCTTGGCTTCCTTGGGGTTGCAGGTGGTTGAAATATTGGCAGGATCTGATCAATTAAAAAAAAATAGTCTGGCCTTGTAACACAGGATCTGACTCTTGTTTTGAACATTAACCTCAAAGATCTATCCTCTCAGGTGAATTTCTGTTGCACTTAGCTCTTTAATGTACAATAAGTATTGTGTTTAACACATTCATTTCAAGACATATACTTTATTCCTGTATGGGTTGATGCACAGAAATGTATTAACAAATACTCACTTAAAATCCTTTTTTGATCCTTGTAGTAAAAAAGTGTTTTACTGTAATATATATTGACACTTTACTCCCAAAATGGACAACAAAAATAAGAAGCCTGCATTTTGTTTTCCCAAAGCTAAAATGACTAGTCCTTTCAGTAAATATGTGAGAAAAGTAAGATAGTATAATTTTACAGAGTATGCTGCATATTTGGGTAGTCATATACCCTACTTCTGTCAATGGCAGTGTTTATATAATTATGTTGAGTCAAACCACAAGTTAACAAATGTTTTGTAAATGTTTCATCCTTTGGATGGTAGGTACACGGTACCATTTGAGACGTAGGTGGTATAGCACCATATTCACTTGAAGTTGTTTTAAACAGTAAAAGCTGAGGGTTTGTCAAGAAATTATTGGTAGTGAGTGTCTTTGGGTCCAACATACAGGAAAACACAGGATTGCCAGGATTTGCACAGGACGGCAGTTGAACAGATTTGATTTTCTCAGTGTTGGTACTCGATGGTAGCATCTCAGCAGAAGTCATTTTCTTTTCCTAATTAAGAGATAATTTTAATGAGTTTCTTCTCTTTATAAATAATAGGGAAAATAATATTTCAGTTAGATTCATATTAAATCATTGTTTTTATTAAACAAACATATTAGGAATCTGATCAATACATAAATATATTATTAGTTTACATACTTGTGTATGGAAAGTAATGTGTTTCCTGCAGGGAAATTAAGCCATGAAACTTGAAGGAATTTTTCCCAACTTTCACAGAGTTTTGTTGTAGGCTTCTGCAATGCATTGTACTGGTCACTTACATATTATTCAGTTATTTACCTGGATCCAGTTACTTTAGTGGTGTGCTATTTTAAAGATGGTAAGTAGGTAAGCTCCAGCAAAAAGTAGCACAGTGAAAAGAGGGTTATGTAGCATGCGAAACCCATGCTTAGATTCAGACTCATTCTTTCACTCAAATCTATAACACCTTCTCAGTGGGTTAGATTTGTGGGTAGGAGGAATAATAATGCTAACACTTACAGCATGTTACAACTTCAGTATAATAATTCAGAAAGATTAATTTGCACAGGGGAAGGGGTAAACAAGCATACTTTAATGCTGCTTATATTTGTGGGAGAAGGGGGTATTTTGCATAATTCTAAACTTTGTCCTAAAGTTTTACATTTATTTTTAAATGGTTTGATTCCAAATATGTGTAATTTTAAAATAGTCTAGTAACTTACTGATACAATCCTCTGTAGGCACTGAAGTGAAGGAGGGCCTAATTCACATCTTTGTTTCTACTATTTCTGGTTTTCTGTCAGTTTAGAAAAGCAGCATTTATAGTTTTTATTGTGGAGGGCCTACTATATTGCAGAGGGGACAGAATTTTTTTTCAAATGAAATTTTAGAACGTGTGGAAAATTGCAGAGACTTGATAATCCTGGAATATTTTTTAAAATACCATACCTTTCTCATATCTGTGGACATAAGTTTATTTGTGAAGGCTCCATTCCATAGTAAAGAGTACTCCATAGCATTAAATAATCAGTAATTGCTCATTACTAACTAACGATGTGACATGGTGGCTATTGTCCCAGCCAGCCATTTGCTTGAATTATAGCATTCACTAAAGTTTAAATATATCTAGCATTAATATTAGCATAAATATTATCTAGCATTTACCTTCTCAAAAAGAAAAAAACAAACATTGTAGATATCACTATGGAAGATTTGGAAGAAATCTTTTCCCTTGAGACAGAAGGTTGGGTTCAGGTTCCATAGACCAGTGGTTTTCAAACATTTTTCTGGCGATCCAGTGGAAGAAAATTGTTGATGCCCATGACCCAGCGGAGCTGGGGATGAGGCAGAGGGTTGGGGTGTGGGGCTGTGGGGTGGGACTGGGAATGAGGGGTTCATGGTGTGGGAGGGGGCTCTGGACTGGGGTAGGGGTTCAGGGTGCAGGAGATGGGGTCAGGGCTCTGGGCTGGGGGTGCAGGCTCTGGGGTGGAGCCAGGGATGAGGGATTTGGGGTGCAGGAGGGGGCTCTGAGTTTGGGGAGGCTGGGGCAGGGGTTGGGGTGCGGGCTTACCTCCGGCAGCTCCTGGTCAGCGGCGCAGCAGGGGTGCAGAGGCAGGGTTCCCACCTGTCCTGGCACCGCGCTGGGTCCAGGAAGTGGCCTGCAGCAGGTCCGGCTCCTAGGCAGAGGCACGCAAGAGGCTCCGCACGGCTCTCGCCCGCAGGCACTGCCCCACCAGCTCTCATTGCCTGGTTCCTGGCCAGTGGGAGTGCGGAGCCAGTGCTCGGGGCGGGGGCAGCGCGCAGAGCCCCATGGCCCCCCTGCCTGGGAGCTGGACCTGCTGCTGGCCGTTTCCGGGGTGCAGCATGGTGTAAGAACAGGTAGGGACTACTAGTTTTTACTGGCCGACCACCAGGGTCCCTGGGAGCTGAGCAAGGCGACCCGTGCCTTGCATTCCGGGTCGCGACCCAAAGTTTGAAAACCACTGCCATAGACCTTTTGTCTAATCCCTTTGTCTAATACTATTCTGATTCTATAATTCGGGACTAGACAACTGCTAGAAGTGGCAGTCCTTGGATGAGCTATTCTAACCAAGATCTCACATGGCTGTTAAAGGTGAAAGTTCCCTCATGTTTTCAAATGTGGCATAAGATTGATGCCTTGCTGAGATTTCCAGCTTCACTAAAACAGTCTAATCTGTGTATGCGTTATTGCTTGGCTCAAGACAGTGTGATGTGGAGGAGGAATGAGCACAAGGTTCAGCGTCGGTAGGCTTAATGCTGGTTCTGCTATTGCCAGGGGCTTTCCCTACACAAGCGACATCCCAGGATTGGGAAACACTGGTCTAGATAATACTTAGTCCTGTCATGAGTCCAGGGAACTGGGCTAGATGACCTCTCAAGATCCTTTACAGTCCTATGATTTTATGATTCAGCAATCAATGGCCAGCAGTAGGCATAGGGCTCAATACCAGTGCAACTAAGTATAACTAGACAAGGACAAGGTGGGGTTTGCACTCTTCATTACTGAATTGGGGCTATTCCTGAGTGTACAGAAGGCCTTAATATCTATCCAGTGCTTTGAACATGTATAAAACCATATAAGTGCAAAATTGATTCCTTTATAAGAGAATTTAAGGGTTGCCAGATTTACTTTACCAACCTTTTCTAACTGATAAGTGTTATATGAAAGGTAAAATAGGAAACCAGCACTCAGCTTATTTATTTATTTTTAAATGCATGATAACGAATGACTCTAGAGAAGAAAACTACGGAAATGCCAGTCCTACAAACTTTTCTATACTGCTGTTTTTCAAATGAAGTCCATAAAAGGATAGTTTCCCACCCCCATGCTAAGGCGAGTGTGTACTAAGGATTAACTTGCTGAACTTCTGTATTTCTATAAACAACTGTTTTGTTGTGGAGTTTAGATAGGTGGTTTATAATTTTTTTGTCAGAGAGAAGGCAATTTCCACTGTTTGAACTGATGACAAACAGATCCCTTGTCAATATATTTTAAAAATCTATTCTCTAAATTTCTCAAGTGAAAGGTTTGGTATTTTCTTTGATTTGCCTTTTCTTACAAATATGTAACTTGCATATTAACTCCTGCCTACTATCCACAAAAAAGGCCTTACCAAAACAAGACACTCTACTGTACACTTCTCCCCCTAGGGAGAGGATGAGAGAACATGTATGGCAGATGTTAGTCATGTGGTTTAATGCATGACTGGTGGGTGCGCTGATACTATGGTGATGTGCGTGGTATAAGAACTGATCCAGAATTGTATTAATTAATTTTGATGAAATAAGTCATTCCAGTCTGGTGACCTTTAGAGGTTCAGCTGACCTGAAGAAAAGCTCGGTGTAAGCTCAAAAGCTTGTCTTTTACCAACAGAAATTGGTCCAATAAGTTATTGCCTGTTTGCCTCACTTTGTCTCTCTAACATATAAATTGACATGTTTAGATTAAACTTTAGGTATAAGTGAGATACTGTCAATTTTAAAAAAGCCTGAACAAAACCAGTTATTTACCTCTGCTGCTAATACAATGATAGATTAAAACTGGCAACACTTTAAATATCCAGTTTCCTTATCACTAATCTTTCCCTGTTGCATTCCTTTCAGATGAGCCAATACGCTGGCATGAAGTCTGGAGTTTACACAGCCACGTTCACTGTCACGTTCTCCGAGCTGCACTGGCTCTTAAATATCCGTGCCCACTGTCTGGCATTAAAAGTAAGTGCAGGGGAATGTCTCGTCTCCTGATCCGATTTTGTAAATGCCTGTTTTACACAGCAGGGATCTTCCCCATCTTTAAAATGCCTCCCGGGAGCACAGCCGGGACTTGGCGAAACAGCCAGGAACCCTGCCGTCCCGACACGGACTTTACCCTCTCCGGCCTCCTACAGCTGACAAATGCGGCCTGTGCCTCCGGCGCTGAGCCGAGCCGGGCACGGACGGACAATCGCTTACAGCGCCGGGAGTGGGGCCGCGGCCTTACCCCCCCCTCTCACGCTCTGTGACGAACAGGCCGGGCCGGCGCGCGCTCTGCCACTGCTTACCACGGTCCGCCTCAGCCTGGCCGCTGCTGCTGTCCAAGGCGCTGCAGCCGGCTCCGGACCGTGGCCCCAGCCCTGCAGCGCTCAGGCGTCGGGGGCGTTGCCATAGCACCAGCCCCTCAAGGAGCCGCTGACGGTTCCTTTGTTGACAAGCCTCGTTGCCCTTTGACCTCTGCGCCGCCGCCCCGCTGCTGCCTGGGATCGGTAGTTTCCCCCGGGCCTCGGCTCGCAGTGAGTGAGCGGGGAGCGGACTACACTTGCCAGGGTGCTCGGGCGCTGCAGCGATGCGCAGGCGCCGCTTTCCCTGCTGCTGGTTGTTTGTTGTTTTGTGAAGGCATCAGGACCTAGCGGCGCGAGCCCGCGGTGCCCCCGTCCCCGGCTGGCTGCGGCGGGGGACGCCGCGCCGGGCCCGATCACTCAGGTACGAGGGGCCGCTCGGTCGCGGGGTGGCAGGCGAATCCTCCCTCACTTCCTCTCTCCGCTCGGGAAGCGCATCTCGGCTTGTCCCTCAGCCGATGGCGCGACTGCGCCACCCGCTTCCCGCTGGGCTCCCTAGTGCTAGCGCTCCTCGGGGGCAGCCCCTCAGCTCCCTGCCCGGGCGAGCGCACCTGCAGCCGCCTCCCCCTTCTCGTTCGGGCCTCCGGTGTGGGGGAAGAAAGGGCAGGGGAGCAGATAACAGGCGGAGCGCTGGTTTCTGTGCCTGAGCGAGAAGGGCCCCTGCTGGCCCCGGGCTGCACCTGGGTTAGGCAGCTTGGCTCGAGGCAGCAGAGTGGTATTTAGACGTCCGTGCGTTACGTGGTAAGCGTGTGTTAGGGCAGTACCCATGTAATAACGTATTCACTTATATAACTCTTCTTGCTGTCATTTGCTGTGCTTTGTAAGGGTAAATGTCAGCTATTGGGAAGGGGGTTTCAGGATGAAGAGAGCTAAGCACGTCTGCTGTTGGCAAAGGGCAGGGCCATCAAAGAGAATCCCATGGGTGTACTACTCTGTGGTGGGTGCGGGGCACTTCTTCTAGAAAACAAATGTCGTCTGCCAAATGGTGCTGCGTTTAATTTAGTCTGCTTAGTGGTTAGGTTTAAATAAGAAATGGAATAGCAGGCCACCCCTTGTGGTGAAGGGGTATATACGTGTTTGTAGCATTTACAGCTGAGTGCAAGAGGAACTTGAATTGCTTACCTTATTGGTCAGTAAAAGGAGAGACTGTTTATTACTTTAATATATCTTATGTATGTTCAGTCAAAAGAGAAATTGGCTCTTAGATCTTGAATATTCTGCGTTATGATTTCCCAATTTCCATCTGTTTCATCATCTCCATACATGCTTGTGACCAATGCAATGTATTATATTTCATAAATGATGTGATAGTTTACATTGCTGAATGTTACTTAAAGTAGAATGGTGGCAAAACAACTTATCTGTAGCCAAAATGTCATACTCATGAGAGAAAAAACAATATATTAGTAGAGCACAAAATCTAATATAGAGATTGTAAAGCAGTACAGGTGCACAGACAGAACTGTGTGTTCACATCATGCCCTGGGAATTCAAACAACACTAATATCACAGTACAGTAAAAAATTGTGAGTTGTCAGACATCTTTTCCTAGAAAGATGGTGATCTGAGGAAGCTATTATAAGTGCTATTATAATTGAAAACTGCTTAGTAGAAGTAATATAAATTTGCATGAAGATCCTGCAGTAGCATATTTACCTTAGTTATAATTTATTCTGAGACTTTTTTTGTACAACAGACATAAGATATTCCTGTAGAACAGAATCCTTAGTTTCCCTAGTTAAAAGTGGAATATAATTAGCTAACAAATTAGTTCCTTTTCACTGTTAATCATTTAATTCTTCTTTGTCAACATTCATTCAGGTTTTTCTGGTCTGACAGGTTTTGTTTCAAGATGGAAGAACTTTGGAGTTATATGTAGAATGGAATTATTATTATGCTGTTTGAAGTTGGAGATCTGTTTTATTCCAGCACTCAAATTTTGGTGAATTGAACATAGTATTTTACATTTCTGTCGTATTACCAATAAGAGACAGAAGCCAATAGTTACTAAAATCTATTTTATACTCTGAATATTTATTCCTCTATTAACTTTAATGGAGCTGCCACATTGTATACAGTGAAGTGAATAAACTGTTTTAAATGAGACTGTCATATTTGCTTACAGCAGTCAAGATACTGTCAAATTAAGAAAATATATATATTTAATAAAATGAATTTCCTTTTACTTGTGTCTAAATACTCCTAAGATTAAAACTAGAAGAATGTTATTTCTTTCACTCAGTTTTCCTTCATATCTCTACACACATACCCATTTCTTTTAATCTTGTATTAGATTTCATGCCATTACAGGAGCTTTATCTAGTGTGCACCCTATATTACCTCAAATGGCATTGACTCCTGTGGAGTGCCCCCCACAACTGTGCAGTTGCGGAGAATGCAGTCAGTTGCATCATAGCTTCTGCTGCTGGTGATGGAGCAGAATATTTTTAAACATGTTCTTTCAAGACAAAAGAACCAAGGCTCTGGAAGCAGATAAATTAATTTCTACTTAATTACTGCCAACAAAATAGTAAAAAGACAAAAGTAAAATGATAGCTTTGTCACTACTGTGCAACGTTTGGAAAACAGTTACAATATATTACATTTCTAGGTAACCTCAGTTTGTAGGCAAGCTGCTAACATAAATCATATTTTTCAAAAAAGCATCCATCCAATTTTTTCAAGATTATGCCCAGTGTATTTTAATTATCTTTTCATCATAAGCTAAATGTTTTAAAGTAGTTAGTTAATCACAAACAAGAATAAAATTACAGTAGTTTCACTGTTGATACCTTGGGTATTGGGGTCTGATCCAAAGCCCATTGATGTCAGTAAGAAGATGCCAATTGACTTTATAGGGTTACAGGGGAGACTCTCCAAAGCCAACTAAATTGTAAGCTCTTTCAGGCAGGAACTGTATAATATGTGTCCTTCATAGCCTATCACCTCCATAACCTAGTTGAGGTCTCTAGATAGTATCATAATATAAATGTTAAATAACAGTAGTAGTAATAAATGAACTAAAAAGACTAGGTAGACAGCTTTCTTAGAAGATTGTAATACAGTATTGGTAAAACATACCATGTACAAAGTTTTTCTGTTTCTGTTTTTATAGGGATGTCATCTTAAAAATAACACTGAAATTTATCTATTATAACACCTCAGCTTACTGTAAATTAACCAAAATTAATGTTTTTTTCCAGACTGTGTAGTTTGCATTTTGTAGCACTTTGTGTATAGTCTTCTTCAGTCTTTCCCCGGTTCACATGAATCTTTCACTGGAGGGGGAAATACACACTTTTTAAAAATAAGAAAATGTAATTTTGAAACCACTGGGAGGTCAGCAGCCATAGAACCTTAAACTGCTTTTAATTATTTTTTTTAATTTACTAGATTTTAAGTTGACTGTGTCCCTATAAGTCTTTTAGTATCAAACAGGATACCTTGGTGGATGGTAATGGCTGGACAGTTGGGTGATGAACTTCTCCAGTCCCTCTGGTTTTGTACATTAATATTTTTAAAAGATCTCTGAACAGGTATTCCATGGATGATAATCATAAAACTGCACTAGATTATTTATATGGGCTACTTAGCATTAGGCTGTATTTCTGTAAGTTAATACTTATTTTGAAAAAAAAAATAGCAACTACTGTAAGCAAGAACACAGTGGCCTTGCTTCTCATGTTCTAAAATGTGATTAATAGCTTTATGCCTCTTATCTGTACTGTGGAAGGGCACATTTAAAATAGAGAGCAAATACTACATTTTATAGCAATTTATGTTCAGTTGGTCCTGTAACTCCTCCATAAGACGGACTCTCTGGAATCCATGCAGAATTTGGGGTGGGTGTAGGGAAGCTCCCCTCTCCCTCCAAAAAATATTCTACACAAAGTGTCAGTTTCCTGGAAAATCTGTGAAGTCAACCTCATGGATTTCCTGGCTTCTTTGCCATGATTTGGGGAATGATATACCACAGAATTCCTTGACAGTGAAACTTTGAATCAAAGGTAATATATGTAAATTTTACGATAGAGACATGATTGCAAGAAGCAGTACAACCCTAGTCATTCATAATTTTGCTGAATAGATTTTTGTCCGATTTTTAAGAACATAAGAAGAGCATCTAACTGTTGCATGCGAAATGCAAGAGAAACCTTTTTAAGTAAACATAAAATGTAAAGTTGAATGCAGTGTAGTGTATAACATATGGATCTTTTCTGGAGTCTTCTGAAGCACAGTGTGTGTAGATCTTTTGAGGATTTGTTGTAATTGAAAGAAGTGACATTTCATACAGATGATTTAGGACCTGATACACAGCACTCTTTGGGCACTACATAAATAATATTTCAGAAAATGAGATGTTTTCAGAAGTCTAATCACATTGTAGGTTTAACACTATTCTCTCCTCCTCCTTTCCCTGACAGCTTGGCATGTAGGTCTGATGACTATTTGAGAAGGAAATGGATTTTATGTAGTGTAGGCAGGACAATGAAAATTTGTAACCTTTCATTTAACATTTTTTTTTTAGAAAGCGTTAAATTATTGCTTAAGTGAATTTTATGTGGTCTAGTCCAAAGGAAGACTTCTACTCTTTGGTGCTGATAGGTTAGAATATATCAAATAAGTGGAGCTAGCCTCTTCCTAGACCAAAGCCCCAGCTGAGCAGTCTTTCAGGGCTAGAACAAACTTTATGTTCTGGGCAGCTCTTTTCTTATCCAGGCTCCAAGGCCAGTTTTAGTCCCAAGTGAGCAGGCCTCTGTCTAAGCGAAAGATACAGGCTAAACTGACTATGATAGTTGGGACAAGTTTTAAAGCTCCTGAATCCTGTTCCCACTAAACTACAGTTAGTGAACAATTGCTTTGAAACAAACCACTCTATTACACACTTTTCTCATGACAACAACTTTTTACAGGCCAACTTTGAACATGAGATGACTAGTTCTCAAGACTAGATCTCCTTACTCATCTAAGTAGTGTCCAATTTTAATGTCATTTTTTAGGTCAGTTTAGAAACTGAGTCCTAAGTGCTATCTATCAGAAAAGGTTGAACTGTACTATATAGCAGATGAAAGAACAATTTAAACAATATTACCATTTTCTACCCACATATACTAAT